TTTAGTCTTTCCAGAACCTCAATGACCTCTTTCAAAGGGAAATTCCACCAATTTCAAAATTCTTCTGCATTTTTTGATGGTTGAGATGAATGCTGCGTCATTCAGAATCCAGTTTGATGTGAAATTGTTCATTATAGAGAAGCTTATCAACATTTCTTTACAGTGGTAGTGATTGGAACCAGTTGTCGCAATGCCTACACAAATATAGCCATTTTATCTACTGTCCAAAACCACCAGTACATTTTTATATGTTGATGAAAAAAAAAAATAGTAAAATGGTGGAAAATTTAAAAAATATATATATTTTGGGGTACTGTTTTGCCTTAGAACACCTTGCATGTACCTTTCTGCCATGAACGTATAAAAATATGTATGTTTTAGGCCAGAATTGTGTCTCAAAACTACTGTAAAACAATATCTCAGGCATCAGACAACATCTTCAGAACAATTTTGTGTAATAGCTTTCTTTCAGGTAGGGGCATTAATGTCGTCAGACATGTGGTTCCTATCACCACCACTGTGAACAGTTTTAAAATTTGCCTAGAATGGAACATTTCATATCAAACCACTCTAAACGGCATTGAATTGCATCTTCATTTAATTATGCAGAAATTCTGTAAAATTGGCAGAATTCCCTTTTAACAAATCAGGATGTTTTTTAGAGATCAGTTCAATCTAAATTACTGTATCAATCTGTTAAACTGGATATTTTTCATCTACTGAATGAAATTCTTCTACCTATAGCCAAGGTGTGATCTGAAATATTAAAATATCATGCTTGTGATTTTTTTTAAATTAAAAATTCAACTACCTAAAAAATTCCTTGGTCTCAGAACATCCTGATTTGCACTTGTAACACTGTAGAAAATATTGAGTATACTAAAATAATGCTATAAACCTACCTATATATGGTAAAAATGAATGCTTACTGTTTTGTACCTTTTATGAATCCAATGTTCCTATTTTTAATGAGCTCCTTCATTTATAGAAAGGAGTTCTTTTGGAATTGTTATAACCTTCCTTGTAGATGAACTAGACTCAAACAGTGTTAGTAAATCAGGGACTGAGGCTGGGTCTGTATCCTGTGGGCGTCTCTACAGGTGAACTCCTGAATGTCAACATCTCTCTGAGAACTTACAGGCCGTGTGGACAGAGAGGTGGATACACTGAAAAGATTAATGTGTTTCATTTGACTTAAATGTGTGCATCATTTCCAAACAAATAAGCATTTGTTGCTGTCATAAATAAACCTTTTGTGTCCAAAATAGACATTTTATAAGCAGAACAAAATTCTTTCAACAAAAGTTTTTTCAACTAACTTTGGACGATTTCTGTTGGTCTATACAAAATGCTCACTCTGTGTTAAGGGGGGTTGGCGTTTTTGACTGATGCACACATTTAAATCAAGAAATCAATGTGTTTCTTTTGTGCGACCTCTCTGCTTCCATCACTACAGTCTGCTGAATTGTCTTCTTCCTTTCTCTTTCCTTGGGTGACTGGCATTTGCAGTCAAATGTGTACATAGTATTTAATGTCTCACAGAAATCAGCAGTGCATGTTTGTCTGGGCAGATCTTCTCTCTTCTATCTGTGTGCTTTTTCATCTTTTCTTTGTGATGGTCCACACAGTAACTGTAACTGTAGCATAGTTACTATTAATCCTTAAGGAATGGAAAGTAATTTATATCTCAAAACAGTTTGTATGCACTTTGGGAGGGGTGGATATTAAAATATTTCAAAAAAGAAAAGCGAAATTGGATTTTGTTTTTCTTGGAGATTCTACATTGAATAAGCTGGGCTTGGCAGCGTGGAAGATTTGCATGCACTCTAAAAATATAACCAAATTTACAGTAAGTTACTGGCAACAGAATTAAAAATCAATTATTTTATTTTTAGCTTTATAAAAAATGTAAACAGTTGTTCTTTTAAAGGTTAACAGGTTTATCTAAAACAGTTTGGCTTTAAGTTGAAATACTTACTAAAGGATTCACTTAAAAACTGCAATATACAGAGAATAACTATGTTACTTAGCCTCAACATGACACTGCAAATCTCATAGACTGAATTATTTAGCTAGCTGAAATTAGTTTTATCATTGCAGCAATAATCAGGTACTTGCAAAGAAAATGTTTTAATATCAAATTCTTTTGTATGATGACAAAAAAGTAAATGAATTCACTTAAACTGAGCTGAAATTTTAACTGCATGTCAATATTACTCTAAAAATAAGAATTAAATTACCTGGTTTAATGTTAAGAAATTGTCCCCAGAAAGAGAATCTGTATGTACGCACTTGGGGAGGGGTGGATATAAAATATTTCAAAAAAGAAAAGCGAATGGATCATTCTCAGCACTGCAGTAACACTGACGTGGTGGTGGTGGTGGTGGTGGTGGCGGCGTGTTAGTGTGTGTTGTGCTGGTACGAGTGGATCAGACTCGTCAGTGTTACTGCAGTGCTGAGAATGATCCACCACCCAAGTAGTACCTGCTCTGTGAGGGACCATGGGGGTCCTGACCACTGAAGAACAAGTTAAAAGGGGGCTAACAAAGTATGCAGAGAAACAGATGCACTACAGTCTGTAATTGAAGAACTACAAAGTGCACCTATATAGTAAGTGGAGCTGATAAAATGGACAATGAGCGTAGAAACAAGGAGGTGGTCTTAATGTTATGCCTGATCAGTGTTTATATATACATTTAACATAAGGGTTTTAATAAATAACCTTTAACATTAACTATTATTCTTAGTATTGCATTTATATCCAGTTCTAACATTCTGTAAAAAGAAGTCTGAGTTCCAGATTTAGAACACAGTAGCAAAAACTTTCAGAAAAATTCTACTAACTAAATTCTAAACTAAAAAGCTACATGGAGAATACTTTTGACATTTTGCATGAAGCTAAAGGTTTTTAATTACTTTTTTTAAATCTATAAAGTAAGCTGCCATGCGGTGGGTGAGTTGGTGGGAAATAATTCAGATGCACAACCAATATTAAATTAAATATTAAATAAAGGTTTCTAAATGGCTAAAAGGCTTGGACATGTAATTTGAGGAAAAAACTTTAATTGGTGCTGAATCTTTACATTAAGAGGTTTTCATTTACAACAGTATTTAGGGAAGGAGAAGTGGTTTATCCAAAAACCTTTTTGTCAGCTTTATTTGAAAGAGTGCAGACTTACAGAGATGATATGTGTATGGAGTCAACAGACAGCTGCCCATGTTTACATGATCGGTGTATGACTGTGATAAAACGTTGCTGAGTTTCTAAACATAACATCCAGCCTACTGAGTGATCAGTATGTCTCTGTTGATTCTCTCATTTTCTCTCTCTCTCTCTCTCTCTCTCTCTCTCTCACTCACACACAAAGACACATGCGCACTCACTCGTCTCAGAGGAGTTTTCCTTTGGAGATTAACTTCCTCAACAAACAAACGTCAGCAGAGCCTTGGAGTGGGGGACGTTTGCTTTGCCTGCTTTACCTGCCTGGACTTATTTGAAATCTAGTACATTTACGTTTGAAATGAATGTCTATGATTGGTGAGTAAGAAATACAAGGACTGTTCCATCACAGCAACAGCAGGTGAGAAACATGACTGGAATGTTTCCATAATGTTGTATGAGGGTCTCCATCCTTCTTTGGTTGCAGTTAATGATTACTGTTATTACTAATTATTATACTCATTATTCATTGTATTTCTTACAAAAAAAGAAAAACAAAATATTTGTAAAATTAAGAGTGCATGAGCAGAATGCGCCGAGACGGGAATCAGTTTTTGCTTTTGACCAGTTTTTGATTTTGGCTAATCTGTGTTTTCTTTTATGTTTGATGTTGCAGTTTATTTGCATTTTATGTTCTGGTGTAGAAATCAGTATTCCATACAAATTCATGATCAGCGCACATCTAGGTAGAATTATTGGAACCCTTGAAGGTAAACAATGATAGCTCAAACATATGTTTATTTATTAGCTTGGTCTTATGATGAAAATATTACCGAAATGCAACCCTGCAGTGAAGTCAAACTATCTAAAGAAAAAGGAGTGCAATTAATTATGAAGCACACCATAGATATACTAAAGAGCTAGACAACCTTACAAACAAGGCACATTTTGTCAGTGGCACACGCTCAAAGTCGAATTTTATGGGGGTTTCACAGATAGCTGATGAATCATATGAGGATTCGAAAGAATCTAAATTCATACCTGATTCAGTAGAATCAGTCAGTGTTGAAGCACCTTTGCCTCAAATGTAGTCAAACAGCCAGCATGTTAGTGTCTGTAGTTTGCTTTCTAACTTTGCACTGGAGTTGCAAGGCTAATGGAGCTTGACCGTGCAGTGCTCTGTAGGTAAGAGTAAGAATTTTAAACTGGATTCTACATACAACAGGAAGACAATGAAGAACAGAGGGGTTATTTGAGACCTGCTGTTAGACCTAGTAAGTAGTCTTGCGTCAGCATTCTGAATTGCCTGCACATGATCAGAGAAAGACACACTGAGTGAGGGGAAAAAAGAGCATTACAGTAGTCAAAGTGAGATGAAATAAAAACATGTACAAGCATCTCTAGCTCTGCATTTGAAACTACAAATCTACAGATGCAACTATAAACATAATGCTGATGTCTGCTAGCACCTTTATTAGATTTGCAGTGCTATTTTAGAGCCAAGCTAACTGTGATGTACTCACTTCTCTACTAAGCCTAATACTACACATGACAACTCTACCTGGACCTGGGCTTGTGAGAGACATTCATATTCTTCACCTTATATGATGTAGTTTTACAATGAATCCTTCAACAAACCCTTTAGCTGAACCTTATGTGAGTTCAGGTCAGTTTTCTCTTTCTATGATGCATACAAAAACTACCTAAGTGCTAAAAGCGCCCCAATGTGGAGAACCTTCAGAGTGCTAAAGGTGAAGTTATAGGCCAGATCAATGAGCTGCTTCACAAAATAGGAATTTTAATGATTGAATTTGCTTGCATTGAATTATTTATTAAAAAATCTAGATACTGGATAATGTGACTGGGAAAACTCATTGTTTTGAGCATGATGTAGATGAGGGTTACTGATTGATGGATGGTGGTATGCTGGGGGTCCAGCCCAAAGAATCTTTGCTCTGTTAAAATTTGGCCCCAGGTTAACTCCTATTCTCCTACCCTACCGTGTCAAAAACCACATAAACAAGTCTATCTGAGATTCTTTCATAACTCAAAATATTTTAAGGAAAGCATGTGATGATTTAGGCCTGCAGTTTGCACAGTGCTAAGCTAGAAACATACAGCCCTGAAAAAAAAATTAGATAAACACTGAGGCCATACATCCTCAGCAAGATGCTGTATGTATTGTGACTCTCACACTCCTCTAATCCCTCCTTTCTTTGTCCTTTTACATTGTTCTTTGTTCCTGGATCAGGAAGTGATATGGGGTGTGTGAGTGTGATCGAGCCGGTAGTTGGCCTGCATGCCTTCGCCATGTTCATGACCTACCCACTGCTACAGCAGTACGTCTACAGGAGACTGTGGCAGCAGCTGAGTGGCTATGCTTACCCATCCAGTGTAAACCAATCCCACTGCTCAAACAACTACAGCAACCTCAGCATTCAGCAGGTCATGCTCACCATGCAAAGCCCTGAGGCTTCATTTAGATTTAATTCTGAATTTTCTTCTCGTGTCTTGTGGTTTACTGGTTTTGGTTTATTATAACTGTATTTTGACTACTTTTGAAGACAATCCACCCCTGGCACTCTTGTAATAACAATGTAATTAAATAACCTTCCAAGTAGTAATTACTTACTTTAATACGTATGTTCATTGTTTTCAGGTTCTTCTCTCTTTCAGCAAAATGGGTTCTATACTAAAAAGTGTTCTTTGACTTGTAACAGAAGTGAAACACTTTTTGTTTCTATGTAGATTTTTGCTATGTAGCTATTTTTATCAGGTTCTTTTTTATAAGAACATTTTAACTCCAATATTTAAATAAAATTTAAATAAAAGTTTTAATTTTTTTTCTTAGAGCTATACAATCAAGCCCAAACAACATTTTTTTGTAGTCAGAGTTTCAAGCCAATATTTGCATGACGCATTTATTATAAAACTAAATATACAAGGATAATTAAAGTACCACGTTTAGAACTGGTTCTTCTGGGCATTTAGACACAACTAAGTAAATAAGACCCTTTTAATCTTTTAATTACTGGTCATTTGATACCACTGTAGTCTCACCATTTCATTTAACCTGTATGTGCCTGTATGTGCTGCAGGCTGTGCAGACGGAGACGTCACGCTTCCTCCTACAGAGCGAGCTGATTTTCCTCCTCCCCAGCCTGTTCTCTTCACTGTTGCTGGTGTCGTACAGTGACTATAGGGGGCGGAAGGTGGCCATGGTGCCCCCCCTTGTGGGCGATTTTCTCTTCACTTTAAGCTATTTTATAGTGAGCTGGTTCTCACTTAGCTTGGGCTACCTGTTGGCTGCTGCCTTCTTGGCCGGTCTGCTGGGGGGTCCCAACACCCTCCTAGGAGGCTGCTTTTCCTATGTGGCTGACTGCTGCCAGGAACAGCCAGCTGGAAAAAAGACTGTCCAAATGGCCCGTCTGGATGCAGTCCTGGGTGTCCTGTCTGGCGTAGGCTCCCTCTGCACTGGCTTCTTCATCAGAGCCGCAGGCTTCAGCTGGCCCTTCCTTACTGCATCTATACTACATCTTCTTAACCTGTTTTATGTGCTAGGGGTCCTGAAAGAGCCTCTTGGGCAAAACCTGCCCCCCAGCCCTTCCAGTCCTGGTCCAGCTGCTGAGCCACCTCGTCTGTCCCAAGCTCACTTTGTGGCTGGCCGTCTGCAGGGCGTCTACCTGCTGTTTGCAGCTTCCACACGGAGACGGAATACTGTGCTGCTGCTCCTCCTTAGTGCTTTCATCTTCTACAAGGTGATCACAAAATCTAGCTATTAAAAAGTAAAAGACAAATTCCCTGTACCTCAGGTATAATCAATCAGTTTGGACACCATTTTAGTGTCCAAAGAAATTAAAGGTCATCTGTTTAGCCAACTGCTTAGCCCTGTGCAAAATGACACTGTGTGAGATACTGTTGTCCATAAAAACTGACAAAATTTCAGGCTTCAAGGTGGCAGCTACCACTGTTTTTAGCTTTGTGACTCAAAAAGCACAAAAGCAAGTCTATTTGAGAGTATTTAACAACTTGACAGTATGAGGTAGTGAAGGCCTGCAGTTTGCCAAGCTAGAAACAGCTAGAGGCCAGAAAGCTTAGCTAGACCGTTTGGAGAAAAGCCACTGTATTAAGCTCAGTATTGAGAGTTGGTTAAAAGGATAGCTGAAACAATCCCTGAACAATCTCTTTAAAACTATTTCTTTAGGTGGCCAAACTGGGAGGCATGTCCATCTTTATCCTATATGAGCTGAACGCTCCACTGTGTTGGAATGAGCTGCTCGTTGGCTATGGATCTGCCCTTTCAACTCTGATCTATCTGAGCAGTTTTGCTGGCGTGGCTCTGCTCTCACGATGGCTGCCTGATGGTTACATTGCGTTGCTGGGGCTGCTGTCTATCGCTGTTGGCCTCTGTATGGCTGCTTTCGCCAAGACCACACCACTTATGTTCCTGGGTAAATAAGATGTTAGGAGGGGAGAGATGGATGGATGAATGCATGTGCGAATAGATAGATAGATAGGTAGATAGATGAATGAGCAACTAAGGGATAGGCTGATGAATGAATGAATAGACAGACTGATTGCCTGATAGATGAACATACTGATGCATGGATGGATGGTTGGATGAGTGGGTTGGTAGGTGGGTGGATGGAAGGACTGATGAATGGATGGATGAATTCATAGATAGACGGATGGATGGATGATCAAAGAGTGGCTGGATGGAAGGCCTGATGCATTAATGGATGAATGTATGGATAGAGGATGTATGGACAGACTAATGCATGAACTGAAGGGTTGGTGGATGGATTGATGAGTGGATTGATGGATGAACAAACTGACAAATGGATGGATGGACGGACGAAAGGACGGATGGATTAGCTGACTAATTTATGGATGGAATGGCCAATAAAATAATTGAAATGATGGGTAAACAAACCAGGATGAAACAGACTCATGGATGAGTGGTTCTCACGTTTGGTCCTGGGAGTACCTGCCCTGCACACATTGGCATTTTCCCAGCTCTAGCACACCTGACTCAGGTCACCTGACTCATTAACAAGCACTTCCTGAATTGAAGTGGATGTGTTAGAGCAGGGAAAACACTAAACTGTGCAAAGCAGGAGCACCACCGGTAGGTAAGAATAGATAAACAAACAAATAGTCAGACGGTTTAAATGGCTTTTTAAATAGTGCGTGAATAAATAAGAAGTGTTTATCAGTAATGTGCTCTGTGGCCTCTATGCAGTGCGGCTGCCTCTGCTCCTGTCCATCATGCCTGCTCCTGTGTTGCGCTCTATGATGTCTAAACTGGTGCCCAGCTCTGAGCAGGGTAAGAACCTCATCATGTGATCCACAAACATCTTTTCTGTTCTTCACACCTACAGTCCAGAACACACACACACACACACATACTTTCGGCACCCATTAGATGTGCTCATTAAAGGCTAAGACCAGGACTATGCCTATTCTTCATTTCTTCTGAAATCCTCTAATCAGCTTGGCATTCAATGCAAAAAAGGGCTGTTATTTCTTTAGAAAATGATTTGATGCATCTTTAAATCTCAAATTTCACTGCAATTTAATTGTTATTTCACTCTGATTATTTTGGTACAATTTGGAATTATTGGAAACACAAATGTGACTGAAGGAATTTTGTACAGCAGTGGATTATGTACAAAAGCAATAAGAATCCAAAATCTTTTTGGATTTTGGGATATGTAAATAACCTCTGTTCTGATTGGCTGCCCTGTATTGTGCTTCATTCAAAAAGCAGTCCAGGCTGAAACAATCCTTCTAATAGACTATCCATACTCCTTATATTTTGAATGTCATTTTAATGTAATTAGAATGGATTATAATTAATTCTAACATTCTGAAATTGGCAAAACACTATTTAAAATTAAATCGCTGCCTTCAGATTAATGCATCATAATAGATCAGTGCATATTCATCCTCCTAATAGACAGATCTCCATCACCATTCCTAGCAGTTCTGCAGTCTGTTTGTCGTCAATAAAGGAATGAAATCTTTCTCAACAAAGGCCATTGCCTCTCCAATCAGTAATCTAAGTGTCCTCCTCTTTCTGCCTGTATCTGTAGGTGCTGTATTTGCTTGTGTGGCCTTTGTGGAAATGCTGAGTATGGGCCTGGCGTTCCCAGTGTTCAGCAGCACTTATGCTGCTACCATCTCATGGTTCTCAGGGTTCAGTTTCCTCTTAGCTGCCGGCCTTACTCTGATACCGGCCACTCTAATTGGGTAAGCTATTGAATCTGACACATACAGTACTGTGCAAAAGTCTTAAGTACTTAAGCATATTATGTAAAACTATTTATCTTGGCAATAAGCATGTTTTGCCTGAGGTTTGGAAATGGTTAAATCACCACATTGACATGCATAAAATCATTGCTTATTATATTATTATCAACATTTTTATTCATTTTTTTCTGAACAGATAAGGGCTTTTTAAATCTAATTTTTAAGAAGTGCTTAACATTTTGCACAGTACTGCATTTTTCATTTAAGCAATGTCTCAGTTTAAGTTTAGTTTAGTGCACGTTCAGTGCAAAACTACATTGCAGAGCTGAAACAACCTGAAATTTGTTCCTCTAACGGTGTCCTGCAGTGCTGTGCTGAAGCTGAAAATGGACAGGGAGGAGTGCAGCAGATTGACCACTGAAGACGATACTGAGGGCAGCACAAGCTCTGAAATCCTTCAGCTCCCGCAGTGGCATGACTGCTGAGAGACACTCTGTACTGCATACAGTGAGATAGCAGTGCCATTCTGTTATACTAAGGCATGCAATGGGTTTTTAAGCCTTTGATTTTGTGACTGTGAAAAACGGGTATGTTTCATTGTGGCATGAAACAAAAAGTACTTGGAAGTGTCACTGACTTTTTAAAGCACAACAAAAACAGAGTCATATACACTTACAAATACATCAGCATTGAGAAAGAATCAGATTTGATCCATGTTTTAAAGTGATATTTCATGTATTTTTGTACTCCTGGAGAGCAGAATGTTTAGGCGATGCTGGGTTACTGTGCTGAAATGCCTGCATTTACTGCTTTTATAATCCTCTACAGATAAGTGTTATACTTCTCGATAATGCTTATCCAGGTGGATCTGGTTCTAAATTTCATAAATGTTTGTGTAAGAGTATTGCCATCTGTACATATGTTTGTGCAAAATATTGAATGTCAGCATCAGATGGCTCATGTCCTAGTTTTTTGTTTATTTTTTACATGCTGTCCCCTTGTGACAATTTTTATTTTATGTAGTAGCCATAATTATTTCCCAACCTGAATTAAACAGGCAGTGTTTGTGACTGTGTCTTTAAGACTGATATGTGTAAATGACCTCTGTTCTGATTGACTTCCCTGTATTGTGCCTAATTGTAAAAGCAGACCAGACTGAAACACTCCTTATAACTTCAGCATGAATGGATGGAGCTAAACTGTTATAGACTGAATAGGTGGACATATGTAAATGTGTTGGGGTTTTTAAGATCACAAAGACAAAAAAATTAACATGAACTGTTTTTGAAGCATAGTTTCCGTACATTATTGTATGTGAAACTTTTTTTGCCCTGGTCAAATGACATTTATTATTTTCTAAGTGAAAATTCATTCTAAAGCAAAAATGCTTTCACACATTTTAATGCACAATTACTGTTTATTTGCTAAATTTAACATAATAGAGAAAAAAATAAGCACAAAATGTGGGTTGTGCAAAAGTTCTGAACATTTTATAGGTTTTATTGTATTTTATATGTTTTCTTTTCCAATATGTTAAACTCAGCAAAAAATAAACACACATTGTTCACTAAAATTTGCAGGAAAACATAAAATGTGGCCTGCATAAGATTTTTGTGACAATTAATGTTTTAATATATGTTTAGGTTAGCAAATAAATATAAATTGTGCACTAAAATTTGCAGAACAATACCATATCGCTGTTGTCGGAAGAAAACCTCATATCTCCAAAATGATAACTTTACAGTTAACTTCTTCATGAAAGAAGTTACACACAATTTAAAGGGCAGCAGGCATTTTCACATTATGTCAAAAGCTGAAAAACGACAAAAATGGAGATACAAGGTTTTCTTCCAACAGCAGCAATATCTAAGTTTGTGGAGGATGTTTCACTTAGAAAATCAATAAAACACGATTTGCCCATATTTGTTCATATGAATATAGGGACCTTACGGACTAGGGAGTGAATGGTACATTTTGAAACAATGTTTACATATTACATCAAACGCTTATTTTAAACAAGTGAGGAAAAAATGACATAATATGAGCCTTTAATGACATACTGAACTTGGACTCTTTTTTCCATTTTACTTGTGCAATGAATATAAAAACATGCTTCCAAGGTTTTTCACGCAAAGAATTTTAGAACATTATAGAACAGGATATGTATATACAGTTTTTTAAAAATGTGAAATGGTAAAGTTAGAATATTACAATAATGCTACAGTAATCATGTATCTGGGCAATTGCCCAATGATAATGACATACATATGGAAGCTGTACATGGAACAAAAGTGGAAGTTACTGAACTGCTTCAGCATATGCTTCTCTATAAAGACATCTCTCTATGCTACTGAATATTCAACAAAGACATGCAAACAGTTAGTTGTGAAATTTTGCAGTTATAGCTCAGATTACCACACAGCCCTTTTGTAAACACTCATGCTTGTGACGGATGGTCTGTGGATGTCTGACTTCATTTTTTTATTAAGTGGCCCAGGATGTCCATGGGAAGAGGGAAAATGATGGTGGAGTTTTTCTCTGCAGCGATGGTGTTGAGGGTCTGCAGGTAGCGCAGCTGCAGGGCAGACGGAGACTCAGCAATCACCAGAGAAGCCTCCTTTAGGGCGCGTGAGGCATTCATCTCTCCCTCTGCTGCTATCACCTACACAAATCGAACACAACATAAGTTTAAAGCAGGGGTTTGGCTAAAAAATCAAATTTAGACAAGTTTCCCCTTAAGTGTAGCTGATGAGCCACGACATGTTTGGTGTATGAAATTTGCTTCTTTTAGTTTTGAACTGGAGCTCCAAGGCTGATGTAGCTACGATATAACGGAAGTTTACAAGCCACAAACTAGACCTGTGACAATTTGCCTGATCCCAATTTTTTAAGATGATTGCAATTATTTTTCTCTGTTTTGGCTTTCAGAATCATACATTTGCATTTCAACAAACAGAATATGAATTTGATGTGTTTTCATCTGTTGGTTTGAGGTGAATGCAGTGACTAATGTTTGTTTATTTGAGCTTGAGCTGCTTGAACTGCATTTCCCATAGTTTTCTTCTTCCTTCAGGTGAAATAGACTCTGACCTTGGCTCTGGCCTCGCGGGCTGCCTCGGCCTCAGCTGCCATGGCCCTCTGCAGCTGGTGAGGCAGCTTGACATCCTTGATCTCCACCCGTTCCACCTTAATGCCCCAAGAGTCTGTAGCCTCATCAAGTGTCACCTGCAAAGAGAAGGAGAAAGGTTGAGGAGTTTAAGGATAGGGATTAGTGTTAAGGGTTGAGTTAGGATTTGGGATTGAAGAGGTGGATTAGGCCAGTGTTTCCCGCTTCGGGTCCTGTTAAAGCCCTTTCTGACACATTTTACACTTTCTCTGCTCCAACACACTCACAGGGAAAACATGCATGGCAGGGGTGCTCCATGTCCAGGTTTAGGAGCCACTGGACTAGGGGCAGAACCAGAGGTGAGCGGTAACTAGTTATCACTAATTATATTTACTGAGTTACTTAGTTTACTCAAGTAAAATTAGAATGGATTTGTACTTTCCTGAGTATTTTTACATTGTGAGACAGTACTTGTGAGGATGGTAATCTAATTTTTAAACAGTTTATTTCCTTTTTATGTTAAATTTATTCTGTTGCCTTAGTTACAGCATCTATACTGCTTTGTGATCAGTCACTCCCCTGACTTTTGAGTAAACTTCACTTCACTTCACTTTCTACACTGATAGTTGCTAAACATACTAAGAAGTATAGAAGCCCATTCCTGCCAGCAATATGTGAAAATATTGGCTTAGTATCTTGAAATAATCTTCAGAAAATAAGACAATATTTTGAGATACTTAATCAATATTTTGAGAAAATAAGTCATTTTTTGAGAGACTAACTCAAACTTTTGACATACTACTACTAGAAACAGAGAAGAAGAACAAATTGTAGGTAATACTTTACCTAGCATTAACATGTTCCATAAAGATGTTTTGCTGCATTTGTAGAAATCACTTAGTATTTAATTAAATTTATTTTGATTTGCCACTTTTGTTCTTTCTACTTGAGTGTTTTGGAAAGGTACTTTGATTTTTACCTTCGTTATCATTTCACAGTAGTAACAATACTTCTTTGTCATTGTGGGTTTAAGGTGTTCTACACACATCTGCATAGAAAAGAGCATGCAGAAGTTTATTGAGGCTTAATTATTCACTGCAGCACTAGAGGGAGCCACTAGAGTGATGAAACAACATTAAGGATACAGTCATATGCAAAAGTTTGCAAAACTTATTGATTTTTAAGTGAAAATGTTACCATCCTCTTGAGGGAAAATTTTTCCTGCATTTTTCTACACATTTTAGTGCACTACTTCTTTTTTTTCCAAAATGTGTTTAATTCAGCAAATAAACAGCAATTGTGCATAAAACTGCACAGAAGTGTGTTTTCTGCCTGCATAGGATGTATTGACTTATTTTTACTTAAAAAATCAACAAAACATGTTATTCGACCATATGGATGATGTACTCTCCCTCTCTCTCTCTCTCACCTGCATACTGTGAGAGATACCCTCTCGATCAGACAGAACTTCAGACAGGTTCTTGGTGCCCAGGACATTCCTTAGGGTTGTCTGGGCCAGCAGGCGTGTGGCGTAATCAGCATTGGTCACGTTGGCCACTGAAGCGATGGGATCACTGACCCTGAAGTACACCACACCGTCAACACTTATTGTCACTGAGTCCTTGGTCAGGATCTGTGATCAACACAATGCAGGCAGCAGGTAAGATCAACACAACACAGTCATGAACAATCAACGACAGTGTGCATTTTTGTTCTGTTTCTGTGGTGCCTCAGTGCAGTCTGTGTGGTGTGATTTACCTCTTGTGGAGGGATGTCGAATGAGACTGTTCTCATGTCCACTTTAATAAAGGAGTCTGTGCAGGGAAGGACGAAGAAGATGCCTAGAAGCGGTGCAGGAAATTTGTTGAGTTACAATTGAATAATTATTTTTATTGGACATTGTACCACCAAACATACTTTTAGTCCCTGCAGCTTTTAGATTTAGAGTCTGCATATTCTTATTTCTCAGTCAACACTCCTAAAAGTAAATAAATGTGCCATAAATAAGGATTCAATGAAGATTAAAATGTATAAATACTTTCCACATAATGTAAAGCTTCTATATCAATTCAAGGGCTTTCCTAGAACTGTATGTCCAAGCCAAGAACCATTTATGCGCCTTTATTTAAGAAAACGACTCAGAAAAGTCAAAATATCTAGAAATAGGTTGAATAATCTTGTGGTATCCTTACACCAATCTTATAATGAGAAAGTGTTTACAGTGAATAGTTGTGGCTGTTGTCTGCAGCTAGCAGGTGCCTTAGACTTTTAATGATAAGGTAATGTGAAAATGATAATTACAACAACAAGATAATAGGCTAGACAAATAAAAGACTGTTTATATACTTACAGTGCTGTATCAGTCTGTATCATAAAACAATCATTTATATGTGTTCCACTCAAACTTTCAATATCGGCTACTTTGACAAAGGCCTCATTTGAGATATACTTCAATTATATATTCAAACAAAACGCTTTTGTGCTGAAAAAGAAAGTACTGTAATATACAGTTGGAGATACATGCATTCAGACACAATGTAGGTGAAAAACTATTATGACACCAAAATTTAATAAGTATTTTGTTGTAGGGCTGCTGTTGGCATTTACAGTTTTGAGACATCTGGGAAGTAACTAGCTTTTTGCAGCATTATGCTTCCGTTTGGTCCATTTCTCTTGGCAGACCATCTTCAATTCCCCAAGGTCCATCTCCTTGACTCACAATTTCAAAATCCTCCACAAAATTTCAATGGTATTCAAGTCAGGAGATTGGCCAGGCCACGCCTTGACCTTCGTCTTTTAAAAACTAGTCTTGAGTGATTGTGGCTGTATGTTTGGGGTCGTTGTCTTGTTTAAAGGTCCATCTTCTCCCTACATGCTGTTGGCTGGATATTTTGGTTGACGGACTAATCTCGGTCCAGCAGTGACACTGAGGTGTTTAAAAAAACTCCAGCAGTACTGCTGTGTCTGATCCATTCATATATATATATATATATATATGAATATTTTTTTCTATGAATTTCAATTTTAAAAAATATACATCTGCAGACACACACTTTTTTGTTCAAAGTCAAAAGACATTATGTTTGTACATTTGAAGTTATATTAAATATTAAAAACTGAAGTGTCTGAACACTCGTTTTCCCTCACTGTACAGACAAAGCCTGAGAATAGTAGTAGTAGTAGTAGTAGTAGTTGTTGTTGTAATGGTGGTAGTAGTAGTAGTAATATAGTAGACTGTTTATATCTTTACCTGGTCCCTTTGCTCTTCTGGCTGTGATGCGGCCCAGTCTGAATATTACAGCTCGTTCATACTCTTGAACTATCTGTAACAGAGATCAATAAAACACGTCTCACAGTAAAAGCAGTATTGCTTTTTATCTATAACGCATTTCAGAGCAATGCAAATTAGTCTTTCAGACACATTTCACTCACAGTAGGAACCAGCATGAAGGTTACCTGAATCACTGGTACCTGACCAATTCACACCTATCACTTCTATATTTCATCTTCCTTGACTTTTACTACTGTGCTTGATTTTTTCATTAAAGTAAATGTTTTACGTCCCTTTAGAAATTCAGAACACCTTTGGTTTGTGCCAGCTCTCACTGTGCTTTCCTACCTTGATGCTAAAAAAAGTCATGATGGGGAAGAAAAGAATTGTGAAAAAAGTTGAGAGAGCAATAAGGATCCATCCACAGCAGCCTAGACCCGGTTTAGTCTCACCTGGAACCAAAACAGAGAAAGAGATTAAATATAGGAGGGTCATTACAAACCATCTTATATAGAACTGGTCAATGAAAAAACAACTCAGTACATGAAGTTATTCATTTAAAAATGTATTTTGTAAAAGTGTAGTTAAAGGGGGGGAAGTCTGGTTCCTCTAAGTCTTTTATTTTCTAGAATGGAGTATTTCATATCAAACCACCCTGAATGTCTTTGTTTCCATCTCAATGATTAAACTGTGCAGACATTCGAAAAAAAAATCTGTGATCTTGGCCTTTAACCCCTTAACAATCCAGGTTTATTTCATACAAAGGTTTATTATTTAGTAACTACAGGCACTTCAATGCAAACGAATGGAGCTATTCTTAGGTTATAGCAGTGTGTAATAAAACCCACCGGCAGGCCCATGGCTTGTTAAGGGGTTAAAGGACTGTCTCCATTTTTAGCATTTTTATTCTTTCTCTCACTAGAAACAGAATGCTGATAGAAAAGAACAGCCCCTTCCAGATGGCTGTGTGCAAAAGTTTGGGCGCACTGGTTGAACACGTTTTATTGATTATTTAAGTGAAAATAAGTTAACAAATCTTCTACTTCTGCACATTTTATTGCATAACTACTGTGTATTTAACATATTGGGGGAATAAAATGTGGAATGTGCAAACATTATGGCACATTTTATATGTATTATTATTGTTATTATTTTAAACTCAATATAAATGCAAATAAACAGAAATTGTGCACTTGAATGTGCAGGAAAAAAACATGTGTTCCTGTAAATGATGTGCTAACTTATTTTCACTTAATCAACAAAATGTGATTTGGCCAGGGGTGTTCAAACTTTTGCATGCGACTGTACGTGTTGTGTTCTGGTGCAGAAAGGTTTGCAAAAGAGGATGTGCTTAAAACAATAGCAGTGTATTTTCAAAGTAAAGTTTTAAAGCAAAGTTTTTTCACTTCCAGTTAAGAGCACAAAGGACATTTATACAAACATTAATTGTTTCATTTGACTAATCCTCTGAAGTCAAAGCAAAATGGAAGTTCTACAGGCCTGATATATTACACTATTAAGGGATAAATTACACTATTATGGGGTAACACAGCACAAAAGATCATGTTACAGTAATGAAGTTCTTGTGTTGAAGTAGGGTGACACATGATGGTTTAAATTCTTGTAATCACATTACAGTTACTGACTTCGTAAGAATTTTGTTACTTCCGTTATTTATATAGACAGCTAATATTCATTTCAGGCAGTGCAGAAAACATGAGGCCCTTGTCTATAATTTGAACACAACTGAGTCAGTTGACAGGCAGTTTTAACTTTGGCTGATTTTACATTCTCCTCCTAAAGATTTTAATTTTGAAGAAGCTGTGAGTTTGAACCGTTTCTGATGTTTCTAGGTTTTGATATAGCATTAGCTGTTCATTGGTTTAATCAAGCTTAATGTGCAGAGCGAAGGTCAGTGACAGGCCTTTTAAATGGTGTTAACTGTGATTTCTTTCTCAATAAAGAAAAAAAAATAAAAAAATAGTCCTTACTTTCCAGTAGAGACACATATGTTTGGGTTTTAGAGAGTGACTTAGAAGTAATGAGTACAAACTATCTGTGCTTTCAGACACATATCAGGTGTTACCAAAGAACCTCTTATCACTGTCATAAACGAGGTCCGTTGGTCACGTTGTCTCTCTCTGTGTGTGTATGCATAAAACTGAGCAAAGCCACGATAGCCCAGAGGCCACAAAGAAAGATATTTACTCAGCATATGGCAGAGTCATAAAAGTAAACACTGTGGAAGGCCCTAATGTGGTTTTCTCTAGCCAGTGCTCACTCAGTGTGCTTTAGACATTATTTATAACCTGCCAAACTAACAACAATTGATGACTATAGGAACCATTGCTCAGCATCCTCTTAGATATTTTTTCCTCCAATCAGTATATTAGGGAAATTCTTACGTAAGACTGTACATGAATGATCCCTTAACTTATGGAACTTCAGCATTAATAGATCATCAGTAATATAAACGAAGCATTTAACACTTGTGATAGCTGATGTTTGTTTAAACAGTAATATAATAATAAACACCTCCATTAGTTCATTAGTCAAATGAATGATAGCTTATAATAGTTGTACCCAGTAACCTGAGTATCACCTAGGAAAGTTTATTATCAACACATAGTGATGTTGTTATCATACTTCAGCTGATGCTAATATTCGGTGAGTCAGTACTACACCTTGTAAAACTCCATTTTAATCAATGAAGCTGTCTACACCAGCTGCCAGCAGCAGTGTGTGATGTTGTGCGATGCGTCACATGGTTTTTGATGGACCCCTGTTTCTGTATTTTCTCCCTTTCTACCTCAAAATGATTGAAGAAACTCATCTATGATGCGGAGAAAAGGAGGGATCTCTATGACCAAACAATTTCCACAAATGTGGGAGAAAAAATATGATTTAACTGCATCTCAGATGGCTTGGAATAAAAAAAAATAAAACATAACAATAATGTTATAAATAATATAATGTTACAAATAATAGAAATTCTATGCTTAACTACCTAATTTAACCTAATTTCCCATATCAGAAAATATATATATATATATATATATATATATATATATATATATATGTGTGTGTGTATATATGTATATATATGTATATATATATATATATATATACATATGTGTGTGTGTATATATATATATGTGTATATATATATATATTTTTTATTTTTATTAAGAGGTTTGTTATAAACCTGTTATCTCTAGCAGCGTTATTGTACTTTTACCACTTGTTGTACTGTAGTGGTTTGTTTTGTATTACTTGTTCTTTGCCTACTGTATTTGATATTAATGTTAGAGCTTTGTTGTGAAAATAATAACATGATCACAAAAAATATCTAAATTATCCTAATAAAATTATAGGTGGTACAGTTGAAACCTCAGGCTGTTTTCTGATAGGTCAGTAGTTTGTTTACATTTGGACTTGACAAACTTGCTTTTTCCAGTGTAGTCCTAAAGGCTTTGCAATGCAATGTCTTATTATATTTGAACATTCACTGGCTGTTAGGGCCCTGTGTTACAGTTTTTCTCAATAGCCAAAACACATTTAACAAAACTGGAGTCAATTTATTCATCACAGCTACTTTCTTATTAAAGCAGAAGTATCATTTTACACGTTAACACATTCTCACTGCTTTCACTCATTTTTTTACACACATTTTAAAACAGTTAACACAGATCTCACACAAAACACAAAATTCATTGTATAACTGTGCAAAAGTAAGGAAAACATTTAGTGACAGCTGAACACAAACACTCATATATCAACCTTTGGCACCCATGTGAACTACAGTGTACAGCAATCAGTTGTCATTAGTGGTGTACACACAGATAAAGGAGGCTGTTAGACAAGCATTTATCCGAGGAGGAATAGGCAATAAGTAAGACTGCCGTTATATATAAAACTGATTTACACAATGAAAGACTTACATATTGAGACTGTAAAAAAAAAGAATCTACTAGAGATACTATAATGATGCATTCCAAAGCTGCACACCACCTTCCACCCAAAAAAGACTTAAAAAAACAGCTGATGTATAATAGAAAACACATTTTATTTATCTAATAACAGTAGTATTACTTATAATATAGCACTGATTGTTCTTTTATGCCTAAAGCCCACTCTCAACAATGTGTATCATGAAAAAGAGGATCCTTGAAAATGGTCTATAATGCCTTTTGGAACAAAACCCTTCAATTTTTGCTTGAATTTCACTGGAAATTTCAGTATGAAATTTCAGAGGGACCCTCTACCAAAACCTAGCATTCTACTGACAAATACTCAGGCCAGAGGATTGACATCAACTTTTGGTACATTACTGTCTTCTACTACACTCCTTTGTTTCAAGAGTATGGAAAAAAAAACATGCAGGAGAATTGTCTCTGAAATTTTTGTGAAATCTTATTTTTTGTTTAGTTTTTGAAATACATTTCTAGTAAAACTACCTAAGAGAAAATAATCAAGTAAAGTTACAGTAATGTTTACAGTAAAATAATAGTATTAGTGAAGTACAGCACAGACACACAGCAATAATAGGGCTGAACAGGTTCAGACAGAAACCTGTGTTTTGTGTTTTTAGGTTGTTTAGTATTTGAGAGAAAAGTTTGCTTTCATGGAGTGTTTTTGTGTTTTGTGGATTCAACCATTTTGCAAAGTGCGATATTTTGACCAGCGAGCCTCTTTAAACTATCACGCTTTAAGTGTTTTGAGAATATGACTTCTGAGTGGACAAATGTGTTCAAGCAACCAGCAAAAACTGTAACAGTCCTGTTTGGATTGTCTGTTCTAAAGTGGCTCCTCTACAGAGACGAGAGGAGCAGCATAGATTACTGCTAAATCTGTGGAATTATGACTAAACAACTTTAACCTAGATGGCTCTTCAAGGGTTCTTTAGTAAAGGCAGTAGTTCTATATAGAGAAACAAAGAAGTCAAAGAACCATTTCATGCTCAAATGAGTCTTTGCACGGTGAAATGGTTCCTTAGATTGATGGAGAATGTGTTCTAGCACCAAAAAGGGTTTTTCTATTGTTACAAGCTTGACATCGTCACAATAGAAGAACTATTCTTGGTGCTATATACACTCTTAAAAGGAGAAGGAAATGGTTCTATATAGAACCATGAAAACTTACAGAACCTTTTGCATGACCGAAGGGTTCTTTGCATCATGAAAGCATTTTTCAGATTGATAGACAACGTGAATGAATGTGCTACAGATGGTTCCTTTTTGAAAAGGGTTCTATATAGCACCAAAAAAGATTCTTCTATTGTTACAAGCTTGACATTATAACAATAGAATAAACCTTTTTGGTGCTATACAGAACGTTTTTCATCTACAACACATTCTTTAGTCATGCAAAGGGTTCTTTGAATGTTCATGGTTCTATATGGAATCATTTTCTTACTAAAGAACTCATTGTAAAAATTGCAAACTGCATCTACAGAGATCAAGAACATGTTGGTATTTTTGAAGCAGAAATAAGGAATAAACATGAAGTTAAAGAAAGAAATTAAAAAATAGGCCTCTAAATGCAAATAAAACATGCCTTGCATGGTACAACTCAATATTTTACAACTCAAGATTTTCATATTGCAATCCACAGAAAGTGAACACGATGTTATTGTAAATTTACGAAAAAACACATACATTTGAAAAAACACTGATATGACTAAGGAAGTCAAACCCACCATTCAGCATCACTTAGTAATTCCTCAAATTAGCCTCTCATCATGGAAGAATACTCATCAAGGAATTGCTAATTATTTGTTTATTTGTATTCATGGGTGGAGTAATTACTGCAGGTGTTCTTTGCTTATTTTTATTAATTAATTTTATTTTTTTAACCAGAGCAGTTACATTGTGATTGAACATCTCTTTCACAAGTGAACCCTGCTTAAGAAGGTGGCACACAAAAAACACAAAGACAAAAACTATGAAATATAAAAAAAAAACTAAAAATCGATTAATTAACATAAAAATCTTAAATAAAAAAAGTGATGAATTTTCAAGTGCTTCTGTAGATTATTCCAAGTTGATGAGGTACCTTAACTAAAAGCCACCTCACCAAATTCAGATTTTACTTTCAGAACACCAAAATTAATGCAACCATAAGCAACCGTTAATGCAACCACTTAGTTACCATTTAAACAAACATGAATTAAGGTGTGTTAACTACTTAGATAACTTTCATTCATGAACAGTGTCACACCTCCCTCCAGCTCTGCATCTCTGATTACTCAGAACACTGATCCTCTCCTGAACTCCATCTCCCAGAATACCCTCAGATATCACAGATCTTCCTATCCTCAGTACTGATCTGTTACACCTGTTCCTTGCTCTGTTTAAACTGTTTAATTTGCCATGATTCTTAGCCAAGTAGGCTAGAGCCCCTGTTTATCAGAGCTTACTGAGCAATTTTTTTCCTCATGTGTGTATTTCTTCTGTGCATCTACCTTGTTTTGTATTTTTTTGCCTTATGCTTTGATTTTGCCTGCTGGTTTTTGGACTTTGTTTTGTCCCTCACTGTTCTCTTGACGTCCCTCTGGATTGCTAATCCTCTCATCCTGGTTCTGACCCTTGTTTTCTGACTACATATTTGGATTGTCCTGATTCATATAAAGTCTCAGTGAGTGATTTTATCTGCAAGTGTCTGACTAGTTCTGTTATGTTACAAGCAGTTAATGTCAACATATGCAAACTTCAGGGTGCCGCTGGTCAAATTACATGTTTTCTTGCTTTTCTATGTGAAAATAAGTTAACATATCCTCTATTGTATGCATATTTAGAGTTTAACATTTTGGAAAACATTTTGGAAAAAAATGTAACAAAGTATGAAATGTACCATAACTTTTTATATAGGCCACATATTATGTTTTGTTTTCCCCAATGTGTTAAATTCAGCAAATAAACAGTAATTATGCACTGAAATGTGTAGAAGTGTGTTCTCTGTAGATTATGTGTTATTTTCAAATCAAGAAAAACAGGTTATTTGACTGGGGTGCCCAAAATTTGTCACACAACTGTATATATTGTACATAATGTTGTTTAATGTATAATATATTGTATATAAAGATAGTTAAGGGAACTCCTTCCGTGTGTATACAATCCTTAGATAAAATAAAATATTTAAATATATATATTTTTAATTTTACTCTTACAAGCACAGAAATGACAAACCAAAGCTGTGCAATATGGTATTTTTCCTATCTCTGTTGTGGCATAATAGTGACCTAACTGCACTGGTTTTAGCCTTGTATACTCAATCGTACCATAATGCTGCAGAAGAAGATAAGAAGTGAAGCCCTGAAGTGGCGTTTCAAAGTTTCATGCTTGCACAATTTTCGTCTACAACTAGTGTTTACCCTTCGCCTTTGGGCCGGGTCATCTGTAGGCCTTTGTGGTAACGTTAGCCGCAGGTGCAACAGCACTGTCTCGATGGTGCGTGTTGTTTGATGTCAATTACCAAAGTCATGAGACTACTACACTGTAAATAGCAGCATATGAAGCGTGACCGTAGATAAATAGCACAATGGTTCTGCTTTCAGCTGTTTACAGGTGCTGAACAGGTGGTAATACTATATTTTACAGTGTTTTTATTACAGTGTAAGGAACAATGTAACTACAATTAAATATCTGTTAAATAAAGAAAAGTCCTGTAATCCAAAATATTAATATATTAATATTAATATTTCTTACAGCATGTTGTCACATTGTGTAAATACATGTCTGAATTTCACAACTTTCTGTAAAAAAAAGAAAATCACAACAAATACAGCCTCTGATTACTGGTTGAGATTAGAGCCTGTGGCAGGTTTTGTGGTTATATTTTTAATATTAAAAAGTGTCGACTTACATTCTATAGATCACACTTTTGGTTGTGAGGCTAGCGCTGGCTCAGCTAGCAGGCTAGCAACGCAGTTACAAGAGCAGAAATGAGATCTTTTTATATGTTTGAACCTCTAATGAAATGAATACAGTGTAACTGTTAAAAGACCATTTAGTATACTTAACTGCATTTACATGGAAGTTTATAAAAGTGCTACAAGTATCAATCTCAGTATGTTGCTCTTTAGGTATTCAGCCACTTACTCCAAGTGTGTAAATACAATATTATTACCACATTATGACTATTTATATTGTCATTGCTTTGTACATACTTGTCATTAAATAACAGAACTTCTAATGCGTTACATTAATTAAGCACATGGTTTGGATTTGATTGGCTGTACAGAAATAGCATGTACCCTGTTTATTCTGCTAGCGCTGATTGACAACTACATATAGTTACATGCCAATTTGATGTTTTAAGTACTCATGACCAAAAAGCCTACTAAAAAAATTGTCCCGACCACCACAATATGTTAATTGCATTGCATTTTCATAGGTCGCTGTTTGTATGTTACTAAAACACAATCAAAATTCTCTCACTTGTAATATGTAGGAGGGTTTGCACTAATTATTATTAAGACAATTTTCATAAATTAAAATATTAGAAATTTGGCCACAAAACCTGTACCAGACCTAAATTCAACCAACGATGATTTTTTTTTAATTTCATTTTTTTTATTTATTTTTTTATTCCCATATAAGTTGGGAAATTCAGACCCTCAGTTACACAGTGTAACTACAGCTAGTTATCTGTATCATTGTTCTGTACACTGTAATAAGGGCAGTGTAAAATAGTATTACTACACTTTTCTTAACCCAGTCCAGCCATGAATGATGAAAGTCTCAAATAGTGTACAAGACTTGTTCTGCATACAGTACAGTATACAGTTGTATGCAAAAGTTTGAACACCATGGGTCAAGTTACATTTTGTTGAAGTGAAAGGAGTTAACACATCCTCTATAGAGAACACATGTAAATATGACATTTTATCCCCCCCCAAACATGTTAAATTCTGACAAACAGTAAGTGGTTCTCTGTAGAAAATGTGCATTTATTGCCACTTAGAAGACATGCATTTTGACCAGGAATGCCAAAACGTTTGCATACAACTGTATGCAAAGCATCATATCAAGAAGTACTATTAAAGAGAAGTATGAAGCACTTTCTACAGATAACAATGGGAAAGAGAGAGAAAAAGAGAGACACATAGCGAAAATAGAGAATCTATGACGCAACTGACTCACTGATTAAGTCTTGTTTGCTGGTGTTTCCTCTCTCGATCTGGTTGTCCATTTCCATATAGTGATGTGTCCCAGTAGAGGAGTGTATGAGTGTGTTTGTGCTGCTGTCTGAACTGGAGAGTGGGAAGTTAGTGCCTTTAAAACACACTTCTATCTGCAGAGGTGGGGCCCTATCTGGAAGGAGTGGCATCAGTGAGTTAAAAGCCTTGTGACTCTGTCAGCTATGCAGCCATAAAACATTACTCATCATGTTTCCAATTAAAAAGTCATTGTCCTTAGATAATATCTAATATTATCTAATAATTTGTAAGTATTGTTTTTCAGTGCAGTATCTCAAGCCATTATTCTAACATCAGGGATGAAATCTGTGCAGTAATGTATTCAGGATATGTTTGGTTGACTGAGCAAGTAAATAATACAGGGAACAACAGAAATAGCTGATTATTAGAAAAATATCAATTTTTACCCAATAAAATAAAGATACTTTTCATTTTCTACTAAAACCTTGGCTTTTCATAGGGATAAACCAGTCTGTGCTCTGTGGTTTACTGTATTGTGCCATATCCACTCCCAGTCGTCCATCAATTCAGTCTGTTCGAGAGATTCATGACTGAATTTATGTTGTGCACTTGTGCCAACCAGCTCCATTGTGTGGTCGGTTGGCACATTATGGGAACAGTTGGCACAGCGTTAACAAGTTATAATTTCTCGGTTGGGTTTCCCAAAAGCATCTTAGCACAGAGATGGTAGAGTGAGCATCAGAACGGACACACTCTCTCCACCAGTTAAGATGATCTTAACACTAAGATGCTTTTGGGAAACTGGGCCAAGCCAGCCAACTCTGCTCTCCCCTACTGATTCTGTTGAGAGCTAAGACAACCAAACCCAACAACTGCTCTCTATTATTTTGCTAACATTCCAACAGATTTTTAAATAATATTTTTTAAATATAATTCCAATATGCTGTATAGCTTTATTAATACAAATTATTCCTTAACTCCGTGTCTGAATTACTCTGAGAATTTTATGTGTAAAACCTCAGTGCTTGAAATTGTACCAAAGTTATACCACATGCACCCACCTTGCCCATTTCCTCTGTGAGACTGCGACGAGACCACAGACAACTGGGTAAAACTTTAGCCCTACCAGCTACAGCAGACATAAGAATGAATTTTTAACTAGTTGATGATAGTTAATGATTGAAGTTGGGAAGTACCACTAATCTTTTAGCAATAAACTGTTGTTGCACAACACTGCAGGAAATGGGAGGGCAAGGTTGGAACACTTCATGATGTAAAATCACATGACTGAGAGTTACAGCAGTATCACTACCTTTCTATCATTTTTACACACATTTATACAAGACTGCATCCAGTTGCTATGGTTGGAAAATCTATTTTTATTAAACCAAAGATAAATGCATCAAAAGAACCACTTGAAAAATGGATACATTCAGTATCTTGGCATGTATGCTGAAGCCAGTGTATAATGGTAAAAGGAAAAGAACATTAATGGGCAGTGTTTCAGCCATTGCAACAGAATTACAGTGCTCCATGATGGAAGTTCCCCTCTTGCTTGAACGCACATTTCTGTATGTTAAAAAGGAAGTTTGACCTAGCATGCTGGGGTCAGAACTGTGACTTCAGTTTTCCCCTAAACCATAAAAACATGACTTCCTAGACATCCCTGAGGAACTTCAGAAAAATGGACAGATTTCAAGTTGTATTTTTTTTTAATATATATATGAAATAACAGACTTCAACCTTTTCAAGAAGTGAATGCAAAGTCTCGTGTATGTTTTAATTGTAGGTGTTGCAATGAGTAACTTCATATCCTTGATGCCTGAGTTAGTCCAATTTTCATGAATTTCATGCAGTGTTTACATTATACTATACAGTGCTAAAAATGAAGAGCTTATTATAATTAAGTGAGGCGTTACAATATCAAGAAAGCTGCCTGGACAAGTACATAGTTTGACAAACAGTTAAATAGGGATGCACCACGACAGTGGAATCTTATCGGTATCGTCACGCTGTAAAAATGGTTTGTCATGAACAATGGTTCATTCAAAGTGTTTGATGAATGAAAACTAGTAACTTGTCACCACATGATATAATTTTAGACTATATTTTTACAGTGCAGGTAATTACTTAAAAAATATTAACATTTTAAACCTGAAATTTGATGTATTTGTTGTACTTCGGAAGAGCATGTTTAGGTTGGGCTGCTATGCTAAAATGTTCACATTTTATTCATTTTACTGCACTTGTAAAGCTACAGAACTAAATGTTTCATTTATCTGTAGTGCTAAGCCAGGTTGATATAGTCCCAGTTACATTAGGGGTTGGCAATATTAAATAAATAATCGATATTGCAACAATTATTCTTATTGTGATACACAATATGAATTCTAAGTTCTTAGTATACGGTGGATGTTTTTAGTACTTGAAGAATTTATGACATTACTACTGCATTTTTGTCTGGGTCAAAGTACCGTGAAGCATAATGTGTATCGTGAAAAGTTCTTAAGTATCGTGATAAACTACTTTTTCCATATCTCCCACTGCTATTCTACATCTTATAAATGTTTGCGTATCGGCAGATATATACATGAAAAATATTAAATATTACCATCAGCCCACAATTCCCATATCGGTGCATCCCTATAGTTAAACAATTCAAACTAAATAGCAGGTATTTAGGGAAAAAAAAGATTTATTTCATGATATTTAAACTAGTCTACATCTACCGATGTTTCTAGTACAGTATTTGAGAGTCATCAACTTCATCTAGAAACAAATATATAGATCCACCATCCGTAAACTACGGCAGAATCCTGTTTATCCAAGTTCATCTATGCAGACACCAGCATGTATAAAAAGGTTTTTAAAAAACATAATGATAATAATAATAATAATAATAATAATAACCTAACAAACACATCACACACATTTAACAGTTCCTTTACCCAGTCTCAAGGGTATATTTTCATACAGTATATTACTAATAGCTGGCTGTTCAGAAATTCTGACTCAGAATTTCACGAAATTGCGAGTAGACAGTCCTCTTCACAGTTTATCCAATGCCATGCATCCATTACATCATGATTAAAAGACTTTTTTGGGTAAAACGTTACCAGTATGCTAACTGAAGGTAAAGTCCTACTTAAAAAAATAATAATAATAATACCACAGAATACTGTAGTACTGATAAAGTTCATTCCAACAATGAGATCTATTCAAACCGCTAATCCATGAGCATTTTTCAGTTCATCTTTCAAACTTCAATGGAAAACCATATGTCTAGGAGTAACGCTACTTAAGCGAGGTACAGACCAGAAAGAAGGTTTGCATGTAACATCAGATTGCTCATTCTCTTGTACAGAAGTTTACAACAGCAGGGTGGTTTGGGCTGTTTCTTCCTCAACAGCCTCTCTCTCTCTCAATACAGGGCACCTTTCATTTTAATAACACTAACCCTCCCTTACAGTCCACATCTCACACACTCTTTCACTCCCTTTGGCCCACTGAGGTACTGTGTTCCCCAAGTAGTTCCCCCTTGAGCAAGGGTCACTGCCAGCCCAGCTGAGGATGCAGACCCGGCTGCAAAGGGAAGGGTGTCCCTGCAGCCGCAGGGGGAAAGGGGGTCCCTGCAGCTGGAGGGTAGCTGCTGAAGCCATTGGGCTGAGGTGGAAAGCTGTCCAGTGCTGACGCAGAATGAGCCTGTACAAGTAAATGAGCATTAGACTGAAGCCAATGTATCACTGCATCTAACACAATATTAGTAGAACATTAGAGGACAATATTAGCAAGTTACAAACTTCCTTTGTGTCCAGTCTGTGACTGTAAGAAACCTCTGGAGGGGAAAATAATTTGAGTGTTTGGAGTTATTTGGTACCTGCAGCAGTGCAGACTGCACAGCGGGGTTGTGGAGGCCCGAAAGTGCAGCAGGAGCAGCACTGGAGGAAAAGCCAGGCATTCCAGCAGGGAATGACAGCAGTCCAGGAAACGCAGTGCCTCCTGGGGCTTGGAGACTACTGCTAAACACATAAGAGAAGCAAGACTTGGTGACATAAGAAAACTGATAATCCTTTTGTCCCTTTGAAATCATTAGACTCATTAGAATCATTGGCTCCTACAGGTTTTCATGCATACCCTCACATACTTTTCATCAGTGAGCTTGACTGTTTAAACCAGTTTAAACCAAGTCACCAAAACATCAACTATTAAAACTGTCAATGTGGATTTTTATTGTTAATGTATTGTGTACCTAAAAATTCCATAATGGTAATATGCATGTTAGGAATATACACACGAGGGGCACAATGGCTTCTAACATTTCTAACATTCTAACATTTCTTGGTACATAATATCACTAAATCATCTATGGTACATAATATCACTAAAATATTTAGAGAACCAAAAGAATTGGAGAAATCTCTGTATGCAAAGAACAAGGCCGAAAGCCAATAATCTCCGGGCCCTCAGGCGGCACTGCATTAAAAACAGACTGCAGTGGAAATCACTGAATGGGCTCAGACACACTTCTGAAAACCACAGTTTGTCACTGCATCCACAAATGCAAGTTAAATCTCTGCCATGAAAAGAAGAAACCATATTTTAAAAAGATCCTGAAACACCGCCGCCTTTTCTGGGTCCACACTCATTTAAAATGGACTGAGGCCAAGTGGAAAAGTGTCCTGTGGTTCAACAAATCAAAATTTGAATTTTTTTTTTTTGGAAATCATAAATACTGCGTCCTCTGGGCCAAAGACCATCTGGCTTATTATCAGCACACAGTTCAAAAGCCAGCATCCATAATGGTATAGGGGTGCACTAGTACACAAGACATGGGTGACTTGCTCATCCGTGAAGGCAACATTAATGCTTGACAATATATACAGGTTTTGGAGCAACATATGCTGCCATCTAGACTATGTCTTTTTCATTGAAGCTCTTGCTTATTTCAGCAAGACCACATTCTGCATGTATTACAACAGCATGGCTCCACAGTGAAAAGAGTTAGGATGCTGAATTGGTCTGCCTGCAGTCCAGACCTATCACCCCTTGAAAACTGCAGCAATTAGTCTCCTCAATTCCCTGACGCTTACACAGTGTTGTTAAAAGAAGAGGTAATGTAACACAGTGGTAAACATTCCCCTGTCTCAAATTTTTGGAACATGTTGCTGGCATCAAATTCAAAATGGGCATATATTTTTCAAAAAACAACATTTGATATGTCGTCTTTACATGATTTGCATTTGAGGCACTCTATAGCAGTCTTTTTTTATTTACATTTTGCAGAGCGTCTCACCTTTTTTGGAAATGGGATTGTACTGTCCTGAGGGAGCAATTTAATAATATAACAGTAAGGCTACCAGAAGATAAAATAGTTAATGTGATGGCGTTAACACTGCTAACACTTAAAATCTTTAAAATATACGATCACAAATGCACAAACATGACATCCATTCATACCAGCCCTAAACATAGCAATGTTTAATGCAGAAACCTTTACCCAGTGATGTAACAGACATCGCTCAGGCATTTAAAACAGAATCGTATAAATCATATAAAAGTTGACAAAAATGGGAAGTGATTAAATGTGTATTAGAATCAAGAAAACAGGAAAGGTATTACGTTTAAAATAAAGTAATATGAAGTTGTTTTTATCTATTTTATTATTACAATAGAGGAATACATTTAACAGTAATGTTAAGTTTTTGTGCCAACATTTAAATTTATTTTCCTCTGAAACACAAACAATTTTTGTGTTCAATCTAAAAAACAATCAACAGATGAACAGAATACAGAAGTAATTAGTTTACTGTTAGGAGTAAGTTTGTTGCAGCCTTAGTTTGAACCTATAAAGATAGGCCAGCCTGTGTGCTGTTTGTTAAATCAGACTGCCTTTATAAATTATTACAACATAGATAAAGATCAAATCACACTCTAGGTGCCAGACATGAAGAAATCAATTCCCAAGGAGTCACAAACTATCATACAGTTTAAGTGAACTCGTTTTCTGGATATTGGCACAACTGAAGAATACATTTAATCCAGTAAAAATGTGAAAGCGCTCAACTGAGCTTTGGTCTCATTTAGAGCACATACAATTTCACTCTGCCTGCAGGCTATTTATTACCAGCAGCAAAGTAAAGTTCAACAGAACACTTCCACACCCTAACAACTTTCCACATCGTATCTGTATCTTTACCGTGAGGGACTGTACATTTCTTTGAACATGTATATGGCAACTAGACTTTGAACTTTAAGGGGAGCATTTAATATGGAGTGCAAAATGAAGGAGTTTTCTGATCCTCAAGGACCTTCAGCTAGTACACATCCATCTTTGATCCCAACACAACTGAGCCAAATAAACAGTATTCTAAATAACCCTTATTATCTATCTTATATAAAGTACTGGGAGCTGTATTAGGAAAAAAAACAAGGACTGATTTGCAGTCCTTAAGGATGTGACTGGGGAAACATTGATACTGAGCTCTAGATTTCAAACTACTGGTTGCACCACATAGATGGGCCCAAAAAATCAATACAGGCACTGACATGTTGCTCACTGGCAATTAGGTGTGTAAACATACATGTGTCGTAGATACAGAAACAGCACCATGAAGATAAGGAGGCATATCTCTGAAACATGTTTATGGACAAATATAATAATGGAGAAATTCTTGCTTGTTGTACCCTCTCTTGACTCTCAGAATGAACAGTCATTACAAACCACTCATTGAAAGCATGAAACAGTTCAACACAGCCTGCATTTTTCCCCACTGTTGATCTGCTGCTGCTAAAACTGTTTGAATGTGTCTGTACTGAGAGCAATAGAAACAGTTTCTCATTTTCATTATCATCAAATGATTTGTTATGTGTTAGAATTTTAGCCTTTTTGCTCTTTTGGCAGAACATCAAAAGTCGCACCGTTGGGCTGTTTTTGTCCAAAATTCTGGACGTCCTTAATTACTGTATATCACTAATAAAAGTATACCCATATAGATACTGATGACTGAAGTCCAGCACTATCGTGATATTGAATTTTACTAGTATCATTAGTTGAAGAGGTTAAATACTCACCCGGGTTGGCCAACCAGTGCAGGATTGAAGTTGGAGCTGAATGCAGAGGCAAAGCCTGGAAGAACGGGAGAAGTGGAGGGCACACCTGCTGCTGCTGCTGCCGCCACTGCCGCTGCCTGGAGAGGGGCCACTGTGGCCACTGAGGAAGAGGCTCCTGGGAGCCCCATAAAGGAGGAGAGCACAGGACTACCTGCTGCAGGGGTGCCAGAACCTCCAAACCCAGGGAAGGCAGGGCTCGGGCCTGGGGCCAGCCCCGGGAACATGGATGGGGCTGTGGTCAGTCCGAGGCCGAAAGCAGAACCAGCTGGGGCCCCGGCAGGGTCCAGGCTGGAGTACACGGAGGAGGTCGGCGGTGCTGCAGCAGAAGCAGAGGAGTGGACAGAGGACTGAATTCCAGGGAGGGGTGAAGCTGTGGACAGTGAGGGGAAGGGTGAGATACCGGGGAATTGAGTGGCAGGGCTGCCTCCTGGCTGAGAGGAAAGAGCCTGTAAACCAGCCATGACTGCAGAGCCTGGGAGGGAGGGTTGAGGGGAGGCACTGCTGTGACTGAGGCTCAGAGAGCGCGCCAAGGCAGCGGAGTTAGGCATCACAAGTGAGCTGAGAGAGGGCGTCCCGGAGCGAGATGATGGCCCTTTGAAGGCAGACGGGACAGGGCTATTACTGCCGCTGCCTCCACTGTGCTGGCCCACAGAGCTCAGAGACTGCTCACCATAGAGCACAGGGTTGGCTATACCAGCTTGCGATTGGTTTGGAGAGGGCTTGGGGCTTGGGGCACAGGTGGCTGTGGGTGTGCCCGAAGGTAAAGCCCCCAGGCCCTGCATACTAGGAGTAGAGCGTCCAGGGAGCAGAGCTGGCAGCCCTGAAGGTGTGTAGCTACGAATGACTGAATTGGAGGATTTGGATTGAATAAGATCTGACTGGGGCTCAGCAGAAGAAGGTTGGAAGGCCTTCACAGAAGTCAGCGGCACATTCTGAGAAGACAGAGGGTCTACTGTACCTCTTGGAGAGGGAACAGGAGCGCCTGAAGGGGTTCCTGAACGTGGTGTTCCATGAAAAGATGACATTGGTACCCCTGCGCCAGGTCTGCCAGGTGTGCCAGAAGGGGTGTGAGCCTTGATAACGGAGGGGGTGTTTCTGCCAGAAGGGGTTGCGGCTTGTGTGGGGGTGCTATGGCCACTAGAGTTAAGAGCAACCTGAGGAGAGCCAGCAGGTACAGGAGGGCTTCTGATTACTGAGGAAGAGTTGGGGCCAGGAGAAGGGGCAACAGGGCTCTGAGACGGGACCATGCCAGGGAAGACAGGGGTGATTGGAGTTGTGGGCTGAGGCTGGGAGGTACTCGGAGTAGGAGGAGCTGAACTAGAAGGTGAGAGGGTGGATGTAGCTGAGCCACTGGAGGGGGGGTTCTGTTGATTGGCAGGTCTAGTGTAAGCTGAAACAAAAATGAAAAAAAAAAAGCATTAACATCAACAGTGAAATTAATAACAAACTGAAATAAGGCTTTTCTGTTGAGATCCAAGCACCCAAGCACCACATGCAAAGCTGCATTTTTAAATAGTTAGTTGACCACAGTATAACCCCATACTCAAACCCAACACCTAAAGTAAAGGTATATGAAAGTTCAATAACTTCAATAAATTACTAACCAGAGACTGTTCAGGACCAGACAATGGTATGCTGACTACTTAGCAAAACCACACGCAACTGACCTGCTCCAGAGTAAATATGCTGTGCTACTCAGCAGAACCACAGTACATTTACATTAGTCAAAGGTAAGTGAAAATGAGCCTCATTGTTCAACAGAGGGAAACATTTTACATATTACAGTGAGCCCTCATTACTCAAAGAGGCTGTTTACACCTTGGATCAGGGGGAGTTTTTTTTAATGATCACATCACATTCGGAGTTCCTTTAACTGCATTTTAAGTGAAGTGTAAATACATTCAAGATGCATTGTAATCGCATCAAACCACAAACCACATCCGGAGGTGGTCATAGATGGACTGACCACATTCAATACAAGTGTAAATATCTGCAAGCAATTCCATAAGCAGTGATGCGCCTGATGGGTGTCGACTTGCAGTTAAGTAGATAAACAAGGAAACACAAGAGGGAGAATACTTGGGGCTGGAGTTATCCCAACACCAAGTGCCTTCTTGCACTCTGGGTCGATGAAACCATCCAAACCAAGCTTTTTGATTCATTTGGTGACGGGAACAAGTAAGAGAAGTAAAACGGAAACAATATATATTCTCACATGCTTTCTCCCCTTGCAATGGCAAGTGTACATGTAAATGGACAGCAAAGTATATCCAGATATAATCTGGACATGAAAGAAATGTTAATACAAGGTGAAAACAGCCTCAACTGTTCGGGCATGCAGAGCAAAACACCGTATGTCTGGTTCAATGCATGATTAAATTTCCAGCCACACCAGATGTCCAGAGTGAGTTTTGGTCCTGAGTAGCAGAACTGAGGCCAAACAAGGAGCATGCCGAGTGCAGTAGGCAGGCACAGCAGAGCGCGTGCTGGTGACGGGCAGGAGTAGTTAGCATGGGGGCAGTTAGCGCAGCTCATCAAGTGGCAGTAATAGCAGTAGCAGCAGCAGCAGCAGCAGTTGTATCATACCTGCTGACTTTGGAGTGGCACAGTAGGGTGGGGGGGGCACGCTGGCAGTAATGACCCCTCCCACTGACACCAAGCCAGCATTGTTGTATGCACCTGAGCAGGGGAACAGAGCCTACTGGGTAGTGGGTATACACGACTCCAAAAACACTAATTCACCACAAAATTTTAATGTTAAACACATATCAGAGTTTGAAATATTCGTCTGAGCCTGATGGAGTCAGGTTCAAATTACACTTTCAGGTTTACATAGCTCTTTCATTTATCTGGCATGCTGGAGTCACCCACTTGTGTCGTTGACAAAATTTAGCACTGAGGAATGCCACGCTTTTGAGAAAATAGATGCACAGCAAATAAACAGTGAACCGCTTCAGGAGAGTACAGATGAGTGCAGACAAAAAGTCATTTAAACTGTTTGGCCACAAGTATTTTTAATGTTGTTTGTTCAATATGTTATATGTAGCAGGTTTAATGCAAATACATTATATTTACCATTACAGATGTGCACTTTATGGGAAATTCATTCAGCTTTAACAACCTCAAGAATGTTGCTCAAGTGCACTGCTTGTTGAATAAATTTGTTAATGTGAGGCTTACTTCATAGCATGTGAATATTGGATATACTTATGTAATAGCATATTATTTCACATTGGGTCATTTTATTTTCCCTTGATCTGAAGACTGACACCTATTATTGTCACCATGTGGTAATCAGAACTATTTCAACAGGTTTAATCAACATTATGAGTGATGATGGGTCAGCTTCAGACAGAATTTTGTTGGACAGGGTCAGTTTTGGACTGCATACTAGATAACATGTTTCAGGTCTGGTCAGGTGTGCACAGAATTTTGTCGGGCTCGGGTGAGGTTCAGACTCGAAACGCAATGCTGTGTCGTGTTGGGTCAGGCTCAGACAGAAACTTCTTGGGCTGTATTCAGATTCAGAGCAAAATATTAGGCCCAGTTATGGCTTTAACACATTCAACTTGGCAATTATTCACTATGAAGTCCATCCCACTTTCTGCATAAAGAAAACTTACTGCCTGTCTGTGACGCTCTCTCTAGAAAGAGAACTACCTACTGTCAGTCTTTCCCTTCAGGAACAGATCTGCCTGTCTTTCTTTCACTCTACAAAGAACACTACTTCCTGTCTATACTTTTTTCATGAGTACTTCTTTCATCTCTGTTTAACCTGAATAGTCAGACAGGAATTTGACCTACCTCCTCCTCTCTTTCTGTCTCACTGGTCACTGGCTGTTTGTCTCTCTAGCAAGAGCAAAGCCTTCTGTCAATTTCCTCATTAAGACCAAAACACCCATTATTTCTCTCTCAACCTTTAAAACAGGCCATATCCTATTCTCTCTCATTCTATCATTTGAATTGTGTTGGTTTAACTGTTTAGGGAAACCTTACTTGGTGCAATGGTGGCGTGTGGTCTGCAGGGAGGGATGGGGTAGGGTACAGGCCTGTGTGGATTGTAGGATGATGGAGACTGTTCACAACAATTTAAATAAATAAAAAACAGAAAAAAGAGAAAGTACAAAGTCTGAGAAGATTTAAGACAGTCAAACAACTTACTGAATGACATCATAAGACTATAATTAAACTTAACCAACTTATGAATGCTGCTGTTTCGATATGTTAAAAAACATGACTTAAAGCTGAAAATTCAGAGATTTTTATTTAGTTTGTGTTACAAACTACACTAATAAAAATACGACACATGAATAGGAAAAGTCACACGTCACTCATGCTTTAAAGTTACCCTGATTAAACAAATCAATAAGTGCTTACATAACAATAAAGGAAGCCTTGTGCATATTTTACACTGTGATAAATATATACAGTAGCACACAGAAAGCTCTGAATCTAATCTCTGGAGACAGATTCAAATGAACAACCTGGTACTGGGCTTATCAGATTCATGTGGTTAATAAGAAGCACAAAACTAATCAGAAACTCATTACCTAAGAAAAGATACGTACCGGTTTGCTGGGTCCGATGATGCGGTTAGCAATTCCCTTCCCCTCTGCATTCACCTCCTCTCCCTCTTTTCTTGGAGGCATTCCCTTAGAATTAACAGGAAATTTTACATTTATATGTTTCTGCCATATACTTCTAAATGTCCACATACTGCATTTACAGGACATGGGCCAATGAGTCTAAATATATACAGATAGAGATGTGCGAGACTTCTCAAGAGTGGGATACTCACTGGGAAGGTTCCGGTGAGCTGGCTGGGTTTGCCTTTTGGGTAAGGGTTGCCAGGAATCATTCCACAGGATGAGATCATTGCTACTGGGGCCTTACAGCCCACCTTACACACCTGAACAAAATATCACACCACAAACACACATTCACTGCAACTGCCAGTTTGCAGTTTTTCATTAGATTGTATTGCAGCAGTGTGCATAGTGACTGCTACATAATAGTACTGAATTGAACTGAAGACTGAATGCTGTCTTTGAATGCACTGTTCTTTGGGAACTAACACCATGACAATGAGTTCTGAGCAGGATTTCTTTTGGACAGAAAGGACTAGGAAGAAATTTCAAATACAAAAATAGTCCTTTTTTTGAGTTCACTCTATCAAAATTCAAACTGACCCTGAGCATAATAATGTTTCCCATTTTGGCAAACTGCCTTAAAAATTGCCCAGGTCTTTATCATCTTACTGACATCATCAGCAACCACCTAATAACCACCTAACGAAGGTAAAATACATTGGAGACTCCTAAGTTAAGATTATGATGCAGTTATTACAAGTTATTACATGCTAATACATTTTAAATCCTAAACACAATGATAACAAAACACTGATTTAAGTACAGAGCTCATCTACCTGTTCAAGGATCCGTCGTGCACGTTTCTTCTCTGACAGGTTAACACGGAACTGATCCTCCACTGGGCGGTAATTATGGGCATCTGATATATTCCTGTCATTGAAGAAATATTACTCTTAACAGCAGAATGCTGCATTTGTTGACAAACAACACAAAAACAAGTGAAACTGGCATCTGATAATTTGTTACACAGACTTAGCAACTTACAGTGCTATGAGCTCCAGTACCATGAGCTTGTCCTTTGAGAACGTGAAAGTGTTCAAAATGTTTGCAACCTTGGTTGTAGGAATGGCCACCATTTTCTGTTGACAGAAAGAGTCATTTTAATTATTGCTAATTCTCCTCACTAAATTTAAACTGCTGTACGAGGTCACCCAATATGACGGTTACACTGATCTAAACAGAACAAGAAAATAAGCTTCCACTTACATGCTGGAACGCTTTCACTGCTTTTATCTGAGGTTCTGCCCACGAGAAGTATTTCAGAATGTCAATCACCTAATAACAAGACATGACGTAAATCATTATAGGCAAATTACTTCTAGTGCTAGACAGGACTAATCAAATTCAGTATCATAATTGTTTCCAAATATCATAGACGGTATTCAAGGTTCACTAAAGTTAACAAATTTGTCCTATTGATTGTTGCTACACATTTGGTTTTGACTGGATTGTTTTGTTCAATTTTGCAGATCCTGGCTACCATTTCTTAAGTAAAGTGCACAAAATATAATAATAATAATAATAATAATAATAATAATGATAAACCAATTTGCTGAGCAACAGAGACACTGATTTTACAGATATAATGCTTAGTATCTATAAAATGTGTTGCTAAAACTATTGCTAAAATAAAAATCACTACAACTATAGTACTGTGTGAAACACTGGGGCATGTGAGAAAATATGTAAATTATTTGGAGTATTTATTTGTATTAAAAATCTATGAAATTACAATAAATACAAATAAACAAAAATTTTGTGATTTCATGTGTATTTGTATGTGTGTGTTAGCTTAACCATTTCCTAAGCTCTCCTCAAGGAAGCCCATAATTACCATTCAATACCTGCTTCAACTGACCAATACTTCATTAAATTAAATCAGGAGTGCTGGTGATAAGGAGATTCCCCCAAATTTAGAATTTGATTTGATTTGATATGCTACATCAAAATTAAAGAGTGGATAAAATTTCACCTGACACTGTATGCTCATTTTCAGTTTATTACAGCATTCAATATAATAAAAGTACTGTATTTGAAATTAATGGTGTGCTTTAGAGTGTTCCAATCTAATGCTCCAGCCATGAGCTAGTCAATAAACTATGACACAATACACTGTGATACAATACAATATAATAAAGTATGTTACGATACATGATACAATACAATGCACTGCAATACCGTAGAATACACTGTATTGTTACATTCCCACTGGTGACAGAATTTAACAAATCCATGCAATGGCTGAGATGCACTAAGAAGTCAGGAAGCAAACCTGTGTTCTTCTAACTGTATTCCTTAAAACAAAGATGTTAATATATATTTTTAAAAACAAAATGTTCAGTGTTACTATGTTTATGTTTGTTTATGTTTATTCTGTTATAGAGTGTTTTTATTTTCTACCTAGACAAATACATTTAAACAATATTTAGAAGAGATGAATAATATGGCAAAATGTCATAACACGGTACTTCAAAAAGTTTTTTGTTTTTTTTTACAATACACAGTATGTTGTGATGATATTCATTTTTTCTGACATCTGATAAATTGGAACAGACAAAGTAATCCCATATTTTAAAAATACCATCATAAACTATGAATTCAATTACTTGTATTCAACATTTTACACACAGTGCTGCACTAAATCCAATTAAACAGGATTAATTATGCTCTCTTTGTGATCAAACATGCAGTTGGTAAGTGTTTTTAAGTACTGATTATATCCACAAAATTCTCAGAAAATCATATTGTGACACCGTGATGTAATTTCTCACGTTAACAATAATTATCTTATTGACCAGCTTTAATGTTCATGTCCATCTAGACTTTTGCACAGTGCCATTTTATACTGTATACTGGTGCACAAGATACATCAGCCAACACTTCATAGCAATTCGTATTCAAAAGCACTCGCAGACGAACTTTCACTCTAATGTTACCTGTTCGCTGGAGAAATAGCCGTGCACCTGCTCTATTGCCTTGATCCTCTGATCTGTCAGAACACACTGAAAAGAACAAGACTAATGTTAAGACAGTTCATCATTTCACATCTCACTTTACAGCCCAGACCAAACACCTGTACACGCTAAACTCACTACGCATAAAACATTTTATGCATAAAAGACTTTTACACATATAACCTAACCGTTGCATATATTTTTTCAGTAACTGTGGCGTTCTAAAGATGTACACTTACCTTTTTTATTTCGTCCAAAACGATGTCAAAAGATTTCTTGTCCATCTTGTAGACGTTACAGCTCCTCAGCTACCAATTTTCCTTGACAAAACTGCTGATCGGTCTGGCCTCGGATTGTTTTGATATTTAGTGAATGGAAAATAAAATGACAGAAGTCCTGCTATTGCATGTGACCATCTACCAATGAACCGTTGACCCAAATGTGTTATTAAAATACCGTTATGAATATTTAAACAATGTTTAAGTCTTCTACAGGTGCTGCCTGGACATCTCTCCCTGCTCTTCATCTACCTCACCAACTTCATGTTTGCAGGCTTGCAGCACTGCGGCCAGTTAGCCAGCCAGCTAACCTAGCTATTGATCTCCAGCCTGACTGACATGACTGCAGGCGACAATAAACATTACTGTGGTGTCGAACTGAACTTCTCTCATATACATGTGGTCACGGAAACATCTTCGGCTGCAGTTGCGCTACTGCAAGAGACAAAGCAGAAAGAAATGAGCATAATTTTCGTTTGTTTCTCATAAGTCTGTTGTTCTCGCTGGTAGCTGGTTAGCCTCTGGCTTACGGGAAATACGTAATTACGACTTCCTGTGTCAGGACCCAGTGTTCCCCACATGTCTGTGTTGTACTGTTTTGTTGTCACTTCTGTTATTTGTACATTTGATTTTGTGTGTTTTGCTTTTTGTGCAAGAAATAAAGACCAAAATAAAGAGCTACATCTGTCACCAGCCCTGACTGAGGCGGAACAGATTATAAAGTCATTATTACACCAAATGTATATGAAGTTGAAGTCAGGTTTTTTTGCCAGCTTCTTGTTCGAATTTTACCGTTCCACCTTAAACTGTGCAGCAATAACATTCTGACCATTTAAGGTGGAACGGGAAAATTCGAACGAGAAGCTGGCGAATACCAAGCCGCCTTCCGCCTCATCAAATGTAACGTGTGTAGATCGCATAATCTGAATGTGGCCACATTTGAGGATCCCTAAAATTGCTGACTTAACTATTGAAACAACAAAGCATTTGGTGATACTGCAGAGCACAGTTAAATTTGAGGGCATCGAGTGGGAAGTGAACACTTTTTTGTAAAAAGCAAAGAATGCATTTTGGCAGTAAGGATTTTACATACAAGGATTTGACATTAACTCTTTATTACTAAAATCGTTGCAACATGAAGGGAATTAAAATAATATCAGAGATCACATCTCCAATAACAGCTATCTTTAATTTAGACAGGCAAAGCGTCTGGTACCATACCGGAAGTAAACAGTCGCTGGGTAGTGTCACGTAGAAAACGTAGAAAACGTACAAAATGTATTAATTCTGATGTATAAATCTAGAAAACTGTTCATAAAGTCGAAATGGACCGATTTATGTGGACTAATGGACTCCTCGAAATGAACGAAACCTTAGTTATCCAGCAGAGAGGTGTCAGACTCTATGATGGAGATGAAAAGGTAACTTTCTGCAGTGTTTTAGACAACAGTGAAATTTCCCAAGATAGCTAACTAAAACTGCTAAAAACAATATAAGATGATAGGTAGTGCAAAATCATGCGCGAATTAACTAATTAATTAAACGGGACTGTGTGTTGAAGGATTCAGTTATCACTTATAGGGATGGGCAATAAGTTACCACTATTTTCAGTTCGATAAATAAAACCAAGGTTAATATCATCACGATCCAAATGTCTTGTTATGCGCATAAAAATCTGAATTTCTTGGGCATCAAACATCAGACCTTTGCATTAGTAAATCAGCTGCCACGTTAACTAACCGTTCACTTAATACAAATTCATATTACAGAGCATTACATCTATTTGATGTGGTCTTCTTTGTCAGAGTGGGTGTATGAGAGACAGGGGGGCAGGGCGGAAGGAAAAGTAGTTCCTGTCCTGCATATTTTTTTGCATCTATTGTAAGTGTCAGTACATCAGTATCAATCCGCCCACCGTTCTTACTCGACTCGTAGTGTGAAAAAGTCAGACGGATTTGGTATTTGTTCTAAATAATAGAGTAATAGAGTGATTTAGTCTCTTGGTGAATAATTCTGGTTTTCTAGACCCAGATTAAAGGGGTGTTTCAGCTAATCCATGGGAAAGAAATATTCTATGTTAGATCTCCTAATAATCTCACCTACTTTTCATGTGCTTGTCATCCTATATAGCTGTCTTCTTCTTTGTAGACATCTTTCAGCAGTCTGTCAGTGCAGATAGAGAACTCTTTCTTTTCTCATTCATCAGCAGAATTTTTTGTTATTAAATACGGTATGTTACTGCGTTAATTTGCTTATTTCTCCTAAGTGTTTAGAAATCAGTGATCATTAACACAGTGTTGATAGATGCTTGACTAACCTTTGGGAAAGCTAGTATTTAATATGTTAATTGTCGTGTTATGTCATTTTCTGTAGTGCAGAATTGTACACGGCATCTGTTTGTTTTTGTCCATCATCGTTCTCTTACTGTAATACCCAGTGTGCATTATGCAAGTAAGTCATACAATTACTGGGAAAGCCCCCCACAGTGAGGAAGAAATCCACTGATGTTCCAATCATCGAGAGACTAGTGCATATATATGTGATATTTGGCTTTCTAGCAGCAACATTAAATTTGGCTTCCTTCTTCATTTGCAAAAAACGTACATTTTATTTGTTGTAGCTTTTCAAAGGTTCCTCCGTACCTTAAAAATACATTTTCAAAAGGGATTTTAAAATAGAAAATCTCACTTTTGAAAACGTTGAGGTGCCACTGGAGTAGGCAGCTAGATATGTTTACAGTAGATGTTGCAGCAGTTACAGTTTTCATATTTCCCAAAGTGCCCCTTTAAAGATTAGGCCTGGACTTAATGGTAAATTGCCACAGACATCACAGTTTACACCAATTCTAAGAACATGTCTAGACTCTAAGTTTGAAGGGTTCTGTATGTTTGGCAGGCGAAGCTTGATGTGGGAGTCGTCCTCCTGAGCACACATCGGTTACTTTGGAGGGACCAAAAGAATCATGTAAGATTATCCAAACTTTGCTTTCCTGCACTGAACTGATGTTATTTTGCCAAATTTTGCATCGACTGTGCATTAGCTCCCACTTTTTGAGAGTCTTTGGAGTAAAATGTGTAACTCTTTGCACTCTCATTTGTACACCCCTGTAGGAGTGCTGCATATGTATACCATTGTCTCAGATCATATTCTTCGAAGAGCAGGCAGCAGGTATTGGGAAGAGGTAAATGTTTCTGTACGCTATGTCATACATGTGGATGTATCTAACAACAATATAGCTGAAGTAATACTCTCTGTCTGTATATTTTAGTGCCAAGATTGTTATTCACCTGCACTCAGCCCCTGCCAACAAGGAGCCTGGACCCTTCCAGCACAGCAAGTTCTCCTATATCAAACTGTCCTTTAAGGAACATGGGCAAATTGAGGTATGTGACTGCAGTGTTTGTGTTAAGATCAGTAGTGTAGTGAAGCATATACATAGTTATACAACGTGTACACACCTGAAAGAACAGTACGTACTCCACCGAGAATAGAAAGATACGCCTGTGTATTTTATGCATGATTTTGACCGCAAAGAGCAATCACAAGTCATATAACCAGCGTACTCCTTTATATTCTTTTCCTGCTGTCATGGTACAGTCACTGGTTAGCTAGTGAACAAACAAAGCTAAAGCAGCAACACATTATTTGAATTTATAAAACATTATTTGAATTTATAAAAAAAAAAAACACTGGGCCTGACAGTGACTATGACATCAACAGCCACGTTAGTCCAGCAAATCAATTTCGAGATCCATCATATGTTTACCTTCTCTCACCCCATAATTATTATGGTTAATTTTTTACAACTTTCACACTTGATACACGAATGAACGCATGCATGTAAAATAACCAAAAGTTATATTGACTTGTAGTATGTTGTGTTAAGTGTATATTGGCCCTTTAAGTTAAAGTCTTTACTGAAGGGATTGTACAAAGTAAACATTACCAAGTAAAAGAAAAAAATCTTACCAAAATGTCTGTTAGAAATTTCAAATGGTTTGCTACAGCTGCTCTATCGGTTTAATGTGGACCACCAGTAGCCTGGCACTAACATAACATGCAACCCTAGCAGCGCTAGCAGCAATTAGTATTATTTCCACAGTGGTTTCACATAAACAAAACTACTTGAGATAGGAAATAAAAGTGCTCTGCATTAGACATCACCCTGGAAAGTCATGGGTGGACATGCTGATAATTTTATGACTGTATCTCCGTGTAAACAAACTTGCATGTGCAAATATAAAGTATTTTACAACAGCTCTGAGCATGTCTCTGCCAATCAGATTGTAGAACTGGACCTATTTGTTTAACAAATCTAGGAGCCGTTTCACTACATGTAGTATGTAACAATGCACTTCACAAGAAATTGCAGATATCAGGGGTGTCCAATCTTATCTGCAGAGGGCTGGTGTGAAGGCAGGGTTTCACTCCAGCAAAGCAGGAGATCACCTGATGAAATGTTTTAAGACTAAGACCAACTGATTGAGTCAGGTCTACTCCAGCTTGTTTGGAGTAAAAGCCTGCAGCCACACTGGCCCTTTCTGGAAAAGACTGGACCGCCCTGGGCTCTGAATCTAAAGCTTGGGCTTGATGTAAATCAGCCCCATCTTAGCCAGTTTGTAGTTTTTTTTATGACCTTTTGGTGGTGCTATTGTTCTTGGGTCCACAGATGTCCAACCTAATCAGCTTCTAGGCATTTGTTAACAGCAAATAAGACAATAATTAAACTTTAATTTAAAACCTTTTTTCTTTGAAGGTGGGGAAGATTAGGTTAGCCCTCCTAATCCATTTATACCAGCCACCCCTACACTTCACTGTTGGTGGAGACTGGTAGATCTAAATGTTCTTAAGAGCTGAAAGAGTTCAACTCTAAATGTGATTTTGTTCGAGTTTGCAGTAGCCATTATACCATTCTTTAGTTTTTTTTTTTATTGTCTGCAGTTTTACAGACGTCTGACGGAGGAAATGACACAGAAGAGGTGGGAGAACACGCCAGTCTCGCAGCCCATTAGCACAACAGCTGGATCGAAGGTCAGACCAAAGATTTAGTGAAAAGATCTATACATTATTACCAGAGTAACTTCTGCAGTGTGTAGTGCTGCCTCAAGGTGGCACTGTTGTATTAAGGTTGAAGCTCAGCAGTTGGCATCTAATCTATATGGTTAAAAGTGAAAAGATGTCTTGTACTGTAAACATTATTCTGCTGAAGTTGTGAAATAACTGTGGTCTGTGGTTGTCTTTGCATGGTGCAATTTAATAGTCTGACACTGGAGAATGTACTGCTGGCCTTATGCTTTCTTGCCTCTATCTTTTTTGCATGTATTTGTGCACACATTGTGTTTGCGCTTGAGAGAAAGAATGACTGATTGTTTTCTTTTCCTGTCTTTTGTGCTTCTACAGGCAGGAAGGACACGCGCAGTAGGGATTGTTGGCATTGAACGGAAGTTGGAGGAGAAGCGGAAAGAGACTGATAAAAATATTTCTGAGGTGAGATGGAGGGACCAGAGAAAGCTAAGACTAAATGATCAATTATGGATTCTGGAATGGTAAATGATTAATGATACAGAGTTTAAGACAATTAGGGCTTATGATATGTTCAAGCTATACTACTGCAAGAAGTCTGTGGCGACTACCTGGCTCCTCTGAACGGCCTGTAGGTGTTCCTCTCCATGGGATTTTGATGTTGGAAGTGAGCACGGCCCTGTTTGTGTAGTTGTATGACATCATGGAGTGTGGCTTGAAAGGCTTCCTGTCCTGGCTAAAAGTAGAGATAAGAGTGTGCCCAGCCAGGGGCCAGACTGCAGCACTGCCCATATGCCCACTGCCCACTGAGTTACTACTCAAGCTCAGCTCTAGAATAACAAACAACAAAAATAACCCCCCTATATGTGGAAAATAGATGTTAGAGTCATTATAATCATTGGTACAATCGTTAGTATGAGCTTGTTTTTTTGTTCAAAATAAAACCTGGGGATATTTTTAAACATGAAAGTAAAACAGTTTGTTTTTTTGCTGTTATTGTGTATATTCCAATAATGTGTAAGAAGGTCCTCCAGTCACAATTAAAATGAATCCTAAATCACACCACTGTAATTTAATCAGATTGAATTATAGTGAAACTAAATCATTTCCTAGAGAATTATGCTACCTTTCAAATGTTTGTAATGACTTGCCATTACACTCCAGCCAAAGTGGAAAATGTTACCAAAACTAACTAACCATTGTTGTAGTCATGATTTTTCACATCCTACAGTGCTGCCACAATAATCTCAAGATTGAGGATTTTTTTTGGCATTAATTTCACTTTCCAAGGCCCCCCTTCTTCATGCATTATCATTATCATTCCATTATAGTCAACTGTAAAAATTATAATTGATTTTAGTTCAGCTGTGTACTTTTTTTAAATTATTAATTTATTTATAAAAACGTTAGGCACATACATGTCTACCTATGCCTTAGACTGTAATAATAATAATAATAATAATAACATAATAATAATAATATTAAAAAGAAATTGGCAGCTGTTTGAAAATTTTTTCTGGATTTCTTCTAGTTGCGAAATGTAAAAGGAGGCCAAATAGCTAATGTTACTGATAGGAGGCCAAATATCAGTTCTGCATTTATTCCTCTCAGTGGATTTCTTTATTGCTGTCAGGGGTGTTGTTTGATGTATTTGTGTGATGCATTCTGGCTATTGTAGTGAGAGAATAGTAATGAATGAAAACATAAAAAGGAGACAAATTCAAACCGATGAGGCTGAGGGATGCAATGTCACGCTACAGAATATTACATAAAATGACAACTAATATCAAATTCTAATTTTAGGCAGGAATGCCCCTTTAACAATTTTTGTTGTTTCATATGAATAATAATTTAAACAATTTAAATATTACAAACTACTCGCCAACAGTATATTTTTTTAAAAACTCAATATTTTCAGAACTATACTGTACTCTAATTATCTGTTTACTTTGAATAGGATGAATTTTGGATATTAATTTTATTATAAATTGCTGTGCAGCTTTCTCAGTCATTTTAGAATCCTCTATATCTGTTTATAATTTTGGACACATCAAAACATTCCTTGATTTTTGTTTACTTCTCTCCAGTGACCTGATTATTTTAATGTGTTAATGATATGAATATATTATGTTATTGAAAGCATTGATTAGAAGCTTATAAACAGTAGCGCCAATTTGAATTGAACCATTGTAAAGTCAGATATTTATGTGGAAAACTCTGTAAGATTGTGTGTGAGTGGTGTAAGCTTACCAGTACTTACCAGTACTTTCATTAAGAAGAACCTGCTTCAACTTATATTCAGCTGCTAAAAATTGTTTATTGTGTTTCAAGATAAATTATTCATGCCAATGTAATAATGAGAGCTTTTATAGGCATCTCTTCGCAAATCTGAGTTGGATTAGCATGGGTTTTTACTGTTTTTGGCTGATGCTCTTCTCTAATCCTCTTCTCCTCCCCTCTGTGTCTCTGTCAGGCCTTTGAAGATCTCAGCAAGCTTATGGAGAAGGTCAGCACTCTGTCATCAGCCTCCATACTGCCCACTTCTGTGGCTACAGTTTGAAACCACGGTAACCTGCCTTTGTCTTTCTCCCTCAGGCCAAAGAGATGGTTGAGCTGTCTAAATCCATTGCCAGCAAAATCAAAGACAAACAGGGCGACATCACAGAGGACGAGGTGAGACAGACACATGAAATGTAGCCAGGTATTATAGCAAGGCTGGTGGTGTCTCGGTACCACAGTGTAAAACAATGTAGAGTCAGGTGACAGGCACACACAAACCTAGCTGCAAGCTGCTTATCTTTCTTTGTTTTATTTGTTACATATGCTGCCTGTCAAAATTTAGGGAATGAGTTTCAAAAAATGAAGAAAAAAAAAACAACAGGTATTACTTTGGGAATAATGCTATGCCCCACACACTTTATCTTCATGTTGTGATGTCAGCACTTATTGAACACTTGAAGCTTTTTAAACCATTACCGGGGCAAAAGATGTTGACAATGTTAGAAATGAAAACATATTACTATTTAGACAAAACTTAGGGTAACCTGGGGGGAAGAACCCCCAGGTTATGATGCCCCCTCTCCTTTATTTTCTCTGATAATCAAATATATAAACTCGACACATTTATACATTTATTTAATCATCACCCTACAGTGGTTCCCATCACCACCACTGTAAAGAAATCTGAGTTGGTAAGTTTCTCTACAATGCACCATTTTGCATCAGAACACTCTGAATGACTACTTACATCTCAATCATCGAATTATGCAGAAATTTTGAAAAATCTTTGGAATTCCACTTTAATGGCTATGGCCTAATTCAGTGCTTCCCAGCTCAGTCCTCAGGGACTCCAGACGGTTCACATTTTTCCTTCATCCTTATGTGTTGTGAGCTGAGTTGGCTGCTATTAGAGGCCTCAGTTTTATTTTATTATCTATTATTTTTAATGTTGCGCTTTAATTAATACCACAATTGTACAAGAATAAAAAGACAAGAAATGATTTGACAAACATTGTACATTTTCTAAAACTTGACAAATTACAAATAGAGGCAGGATGCACTGCCTTCTTTACCCCACTTAGCAGGGGCATCTTGCCTTGACTGTGGGGCAAGATGCTGCTTTTCAAGATTTTATTTTTTCTGGTTATGAAAACTAAATTGATGGCTATTACCGTTTATTTCCTCTAACTGTTTGTAGGTTTATGCATCATTATCCTGTACACGTTAAACTCTGGCACATATATGGTTTAGCTTCACAGTAACATGACACTGTTCTTAAGGGGTGCATTTCCCCTCTTTTTAGGCTACTCTTCATACCAAGGAAGACGTTAATGAACATGAGGCTGAATGTTCAGAAAATATTTCTAAATTATTAGTAAACTGTTCCATGCTAACTTAGCATTTGCAGGTATTTAATTGAAACGGAACAGCAAAAACTCAAACATTACTGCAAGGAAATGCAGAGTGTCCCAAAATTTTTGACAAGCAATGTATTTGGAAAGCATTAGCAATGTAGACTTGTGTATTTAGCTGTCAGTGTTCATATTTAAGACTTTCAGAAATCGTTTCAGGCCTTTTTAGTCTTAATCCCACGATCTAACTGGAGGCGTGTAGGTTGTATGAGATTGTTGACGATTTAAGGTTTGTGAGATTAACCTGGTTGCAGCTGAATGAGCGTTCCAGTAGGCCTGATGCCAGCTTAACTAGCATTATGGCAGGCCTAGCAACAGATGTCATAGCCGGCGTTGCTGCATGAGAAGTGTTCTACCTGTTAGTGCTTTGTGTCTTGTGCTCAGAAGTTATGTTAGAGTAGAACCTATTTACCTGAAGACAATCTGGTTGATGTGAACAGTTTTGAAGCTCTCGCATTTTGTGCTGTAATAATTTCAAACGTTGTATTTACACATGGAAGCAAATATGATGTAAATGTAAATATCGCTCATTTAGAAGATATTTTTCTTGCCACTTCATTTGATCTCTTGGTTTGCGAACCTTTGGCTTAAGCTATTACTGCTTTAATGCTCCCAGGGTTAATAGGCTTTGTGTGATCATGCATGTTGAGATTACTATGCCCTGTTCTTTTTTTATTGGATGGGTTTTCTATTTTATTTCTTGACTGTTCCCATCTAGGTTTGTATGCACAGATAGTGAAAAAAATGGAGAGATTACTTCAGTTTTTAATGAAAGCAGCAATTAAATGGATAATGCAAAGGATGCTAAATATTTCCATTGGCTTAACTCTGTTAAGGCCTCTCGCTCTGTGGGGTGCTTCTAAGCCCATTGCTTGGCAAATGTGGCAGAGTAATCCATGCAGGGTTCAATTTTCTTCCGAGCTAGGCACTGTCAGACGCACATGTTGATGTATAAGCACCAAGACCTGGTTGGGGACCTGTTTTTTTAGCATAAGGAGAATTGCAGAAACATAAAGTTCACAGAAAATTACAGAGAAATCCCAATACCTATATATAATATCATTTTTTCAGTATTTATTGTGTCGGTGCTTTACCTTTATTACATCTTCCATTCTTTTTAGGATTCTCACTTTCAGTTTTTCAGAAAAAAATCTGCAGGGATACTTTTCCCACACCAAACTTCAGTCTTAGAAGTTTGTTGCATTTTCTGCTTCTCACAATTCAAGTAATCCCAAACATATTCAGTGATGTTGAGTGATGGGGTGGTCAATACGTTGTTCTGAGAACACCAGCATCTTCTTTGTTTGATTTGCAAATTTTCTTCTTTTTTGTCTATTTCCTTTTTTCAGTAATGGCTTCTTGACAGCTACTCATCCTTTCAGGCTCATAGTGTTGTGTTGTCTTCTCACAGTGGAAGGATGGACAGAAATACATGATTTTTTTCAGATCTGAAGCAAGAGTGGAGCTTGATATTTCTTCTATTGCTCAGGTCTTGCTCAGTTGTTAGGAGTTCCATTTTTTATTATTAAATAATATTTTAAACTTCAGTTTTGGAAACTCCTGTTTTTTTAACTTATCTTCTTTTGACTTTCCCCTTTCTAATGCAAGTGAGTTATTTTATAATTAATTAATTAATTAATTAATATTTTTCTAATCTCAGAAATATCTCCTGACAAATGAACAACTTAAGGGCCATTTTGACTGGAAATGAAATAAATAAATACTGTATTTGTTTTTTTTTTTTTTTTATTACATTACACTCTACAGAAGACTTTTACCTTCTGATCGTTCTTGATGTTAAAATGTCAAAGAAATCTAACAAAAAACACAAGAAGGGCCAGAAAATGACATTTTTTGCCTTTGCTCAGCTCACAAAACATCTGAAATCAGTAAAACTTAGCAGAGGCAATTGTCATTGCATTTTTCATAATATTTTCAATCAACTGCCCCAGTGGCACCTCTTTAGAGTTCTGAAACAAGGCACTTCTTAGGTCAGGTGAACTGACTTAAAATGACCTCTGATGTTTCTGCAGTATCATTTGTACTAGAACATGCAATGTTTTTCCATTCTGATGTAATTCCCCTTCATTTCGAGAACCAATTAAGTATCTCCCTTGCTGCCTCTTGCAGACTATCCGCTTCAAGTCCTATTTGCTAAGCATGGGCATCGCCGACCCTGTAACCAGGGAAACGCACGGCTCTGGCACACACTACCACATGCAGCTCGCTAGACAGCTGGGAGACATGCTTCAGGCACCACTGGAGGTAAGAGCGTGTGTGGGTTTGTTAGAGTGAACAAACATACGACCTGTTTGAACTGAGCCATTCCGTCTAGACAGTCTTCTATTTTTTATCTCGTTGTGATTGATACTTTACATGACAGAGCTGCTCAGTAAATAGCACTAATGTATTTTAATATTATCAGTTGTTGCTTCCATTGAAGTGTGTTAGATGTGCTTGGAGTTGGACTTTTGGACCTTGTCCAGCATTCTGGGTCTAAAGGATCTCTAAATACAATTGAGCTACGGCTCATTGATTTAATTCTATTTGTTAAGACTAACCAATGACTTTGTGTGTCCTTTACATACACTGTAACCTTTGATATAGTATTTCCTCTCTCTCTCTTTCTTCCCTCTCCACCTCGCCCATGGCTGTGTAATGCTCTTCACAGGAACGAGGGGGTATGATGGCCCTCACAGAAGTCTACTGTCTGGTGAACCGAGCACGTGGGATGGAGGTAAACTCAGAAACCCAGGCAGCCTGTAGATCTAGAACAAAAGCAGGCTGGTTTTTATGATTGTGAAGTATTACGAACATAAATTAGAATAACCCTTCTAAAAAGTGTTACAGCAGAACAAAGATATTGCCTTGCTTTTAATAAGTAATGTGAAAAAACAGTGGCTTGCAACAAGCAGAAGAACCAAAAAAGGTAAATTCCCAGTTTTAACTGATCATGGCTTTAAGCGGTAACAGCGATCTCTGTCACAGACTGATCAGTGCTTAGCCTGACCTTCTGCTCAGACAGATTTACAGTACGACCATCTGCCTCCAACTTTCCAAAGCACACCTCTTGCCAGTTTATGTCATAGGGGGTTAAACATTTGTACTTTTTTGCCAGTTGTAAGCATAAAAATGTCCTTTTTTAAAGCAAGAACACTATTTGAAGGCTACCTTCAAGGGGGCTTCATAACACTTGCATAACTAGTGTAAAGTGTATTTCTAAAGCAATATTTGTGGGTTTTTCTTGTATGCAGATTGCCATCAAATGAAGTGTTACCTAACACTTTTAGGACTATATATGTGACTTCCCACATGGTAATTTTATAGCTGATATAAACACACATCCCAGTTATAGGTTTTGACTGTGAAGGAGCACAAAAGTGTATTTATTACTAGAATAGGGGAACATAGACAGTGATTAATATATAAAAAAAGGTGGTGGTAAAGTGATAACCCTTTTCATCTTTCTAGCTTCTCTCTCCAGAGGATCTGGTGAATGCCTGCAAGATGTTTGAATCCCTTAAACTCCCTCTGAGGTAAGAGTGTATGTGTCTGCAAGATCATATGAATGTGCGCATATGGGAGCGTATGATTGAGCCAGGGTTTTGGGGGGTGCGGAGGGGAGGCAAGCCAAAGAAGGAATCAGTCAGCCACTTCCTGCCTCACTTCCTGTTTTCAAGAAGCCATGACTGCTCTCCTCGCTTTCCATCTTTCTAAAGAAAACATCCATTTGCTGTCCCGATCCCTCCAATACCACCAACCCCACTTAAATAGCTCTTAGCTGGAGACTTTATGTATTTGCTGGGTTCTGTTTCAGGGATTTTGGCTAGGATTTTCACTGTGGTAGCTTCCAGTGGAAATCAGTACATTATTGTTTTACGTTTTCTCTCAGGTTGCGAGTCTTCGACAGTGGGGTGATGGTGGTTCAGTTGCAGTCCCATAACGAAGAGGAGATGATTGCGTCTGCTCTTGATAATGTGAGTGTCAAGCCTCTGTCATGTAACTCCTGCTAAATCACTTAAGTGGCCACTAACTCTATCATGTTTAATTAGGGGTTTGGTGGAGCGGAACTTGGAACAATCCTACACTGAATGTTTCTGCCTCATTCGCTCAGCCGCTGCGTAAAAGAGAGGCTCCTCAGTTCAGTTAGTGAGAGGGCTGCCTCAGCAAATCGCTTATCACTGATCAGGCTATTGGACAGGAGACACCCTCCAACAGATGTGTGAGGGGGGCTGGAAGAATTGTGTTTTGGGTCAAAGATCCAGAGGCGTGTCAGATCAGAATGTTCCATGTCTGAAGAGTCCAAGGCAAATGTGGTCGAAGAGCGGAATGTTCAGTCATTGCTCTTAGAGAAAAATGCCTGTAGTCAGAGGGGAGTTACCCTTTCAGTCCCTAACAGGACTACATTGTATTTGGCATTTATTATAATATGAGTCTAAAGTGTGAAGAAGGTGTTAAAGTTGAACTGAGAATGTTCACCCAAACACATCTGTGCTGCTCAGTGTGTAAAAACACGTGTTAGTTGTGGTGCGTGTCCCATTGGCGTTTAACGGTGCTTCTCTCCTTTCCTGTTTCACAGGTGTCCGAGAAGGGCTCCTTAACAGCGGAGGAGTTCGCAAAACTTTTAGGACTGTCTGTTCTCCTTGCAAAAGAGAGGTACTGTTGGATCTAATTCTGGCCAATATGGGTTCTGTACTGATCTGCCTGGTGCTGCACAGCGATATTGATTTTTAGTTTTATTAGTATTGATACAATTATACAGTACTGTGCAAAAATCAGCGGTCACCCTTTTTTATTTAATTTGCAGTCAAAATGACCATCAACTACAAGTTATTGATTTTCAGTAGATATTTCTAAGGACATTAGATATAAAATATATAATTGTATAAAAAGGGGAAAGTCAAAGGAAAATAAGTGAAAAACCAGAAGTTTTTCAAAACTGGAGTTCAAAAAATTTTCTAACAGAGACATGGACTCCTTAGAACCGTGCTGTCGCCATCAGATAAACAGTCTTTAAAGCTTTCATCTTTGAGAGATAGGAGAAAATCAAACTCCACTCTTGCTTTAGATCTGAAAAATCCACAAGTGTTTCTGATCAGCCTTCCACTGTGAGAAAAACTCTGAATGGAGTTGGAATGGGTGTGTATCTGTTAAGAAGCTGTTACTGAGAAAAAAATAGACAAAAAAGCCTCTGGTGTTCTCAGAACAATGGACTGACCACCCTAGACCCCAGTCCAGACCTCAGCATCATTGAATATGTTCGCCATTGATTGGATCATAAGAAGCAGAAAGTGCAACCAACTTCTAAGACTGAACTTTGGAGGTGTGGAAGAACCTTTCTCCAAATTTCTTTTGCAAAACTTGAAAAACAAGTCTTTTTAAAATAAAAGAAGCTGTAATGAAGGCAAAGTGCTGGCAAGTGATGGAAAATGTATTTTATACTTAATTGAATGTTAATGAAGTTTTTCTGTTTAATACATAATTTAGCTTTTTTCCTGATGCTGATAAATTAATAACTTGTAATGGCTGGTTTGACAGTAAATGAAAGGTGGTCTCTGACTTTTTCAGTACCGTATACATGACACCAATGAAAGCACTGTATTTCAGTAAATAGTGATGTCTCTGATGCTGCATCAGCAAAAATATATTTTGTACATTCTTAAAAATTAAGGTGCTAAAATGTGTTCTTTGGAGTGTCACAAAAGTGGAAAGCCACCTTTGGTTCCCTAAAGCAGAGCAGTCCTCAGGATCCTCAGCCAATCCACTTTTTGCTCTTTCCCAACTTCCAACACACCTGTATCAGATATCCAGTGTTTTTAATGGCTTGGTTCAGATGCTTTTGAACTAGGAGAGTGCAAAAATGTGAAACCTCTGAGGACTGGTGTGAGAACCAATGCTCTGAAGAACCTTTCAGTGATTTTTATTTATTTATTTTTTTTGAGGTGTGACTTTCTGAAGGTTTCTATGCCAATTAAAAGGTTTTGTATGCCCGAGCCAAGAACCATTTAGGTACTTTCATGTTTTAAGTGCAAGGTTACCTTTAGGTTTAACAGAGGAAGCAGGACAAAAAAGCCCAATCAGAACAAACTCTGTCACGTTTGTAGGATAGTCCTTCAGTATAGAATAGCAGTACTTAAAGGGCCCATATCATGGAATTTTATTCACTTTTTTGAAATGTAAAAGGTTGATGTTGTATATAAATATTGCTAAAGTTTCAAATCATATTGTTCCCTTCCCAGACCAATACAATCCATATCTGGAACTAAGCTTCAGCCTGTTTTGGATTCATTGTTTCTATGATATTATAAAAACCAACACATTTACGTAAATCCGCCCACTTGGCCTACGGCAGTTTAGCTCCACCAACTCAAGTTTAAGTCATAAGGAGTGTTTTAGCCTGGACTGCTTTTTAAATAAGGCACAATACAGGGTAGCCAATCAGAACAAAGCTCATACATATTGTTGCTGTCCAAAGTAAAACCATTTTTGTTGATTTTTATTTTTCTGCATCATTTGAACATGGCAGCTGTCCTCTACATTGTGTGAAGATTTCATGATGAATAGACCAGTAGAAATGTTCTAAAATTACTTTAAAACTTCTTTACATAACCTTACATTAGAAGTTAAGAGCATTTTTGCCTTATCCTGTAAAGATACATGTTTTTCTTCTGACAGTGACGATATATCAGTCATAAAGGCATTTAAACAAAGGCAAAAAGTTATAAAGCCACACTAACGTTAAATACAATAAAGATGTAGGATTTGGGCCCTTTAAAAATAATAATAGGTTTGTTAACTTTAGATGCAGTTTAAATGTCAAAAGCAGTAATGTTGTGATGTATGTGGCCACATACTACTTGCGTATATGTATTGTGTACTGTGTATTACATTCTTACAGCATTGTCTGGATGGTCCTTCTTGTTGAACCAAAGAACAGTTAAGTGACTCTCAATGTCTTCCTTCCTGCCTTCATGGCATCCTTCCTTGCAGACTGCTGCTGGCTGAGAAAATGGGGCATCTATGCAGAGACGACTCCGTGGAAGGCCTGCGCTTTTATCCTAACTTGTTTTGATGTACAAATATGTCTTATCTAAAATCTCTGCTGGACTCTTTCACAGACTGTTGTACAGAACACTGTAATGTTCCGCATATAGACTGGACTTGTAGGACAGCCCCTCTTTACTGTATAATACCAATAATAAATGTTGATTTAGATGCTTATATTACTTGATGTGTTATAAATGGGGTAAGGCAGTAATGGAATGCTGTTCTTAGTCATCCGGTTTAAACAGATCTGTGTATGAACTGTAAAGATGGTGTGCTATGGTGGGCTGTCCTAAATAGTACGGCTGTAGTGCTAAACCTGAACAGCAGGGCTGTGGCTGAGAGCCTTGCTAATAAACCCCACAGTGAGGTGGACTAAAAGGGTTCTGGCTCTGCTTAAAGGAATACTCCACTAATTTTTTTCAACCTAATCTCAATCTTCTGAATCTGTAGCATGTGGTCAGTTACCACAGGCGATCATTTGAACCCTTTCACTGTACTTAATACTGAAGCAACTGCAGATAGAGATTAGGCTGAAAAAATGCTGGCGTGTTCCTTTAAGTCATATTTGGCTTTAGAATTGAGGCATTCAAGAGCCTTCACTAGTACAAATTTACTATGACCAGCTATGCCCCAACACTGTGCACCTTGACTGCACAGAGCATTTTACAGGTTTAATGCTTATATCCTGTATTAGCTGAACAGACTGACGCATCTCCCAGTGTCTGAACTGTGTTCAGCTGAGATTCATCGTGCGATTAAAAAATTCAGCCGTCTTCATATCATTCTGATGTTTTTATTTATGTAGATTTATCATCGTGTGACTGTGAGAATAATAACAGTATTTGGTAGCAGTACTAAAAAAGATCCTATGACTCTTAACAAGAGAGGAACCCTTTTTGGTGTTATAAAGAACCATTTTAGAAAAGTTTCTTTAAAGAACCACATGGAACAGGTTCTCCATCATAGAGAAGGAGCATATAACCAGGCAAAGAACCATTTATGCATTCAAATTGTTACTTGAGTTTGAGTTTTCATGTTTTTTTTATAACCACTACTTATACTAGACAACTTTTAAAGGTCTCATATCATGGACCACCAAAATGCCTTTGTTTTTTTTAAATGAAAAAGTTTGATGTGATTGTTAAAGTTTCAAAACACTTCACAGATCATACAGTCCAGTCTATCTATAAGTATCTCTCTCTCTCTTTCTCTCTCGCTATATATATATACATATATATATATATATATGTATATATATATATATATATATATATATATATATATATGTATGTGGATGTGTGTGTGTATATATATATGTGTGTGTATATGTATGTGTGTATATATATATATATATATATATATATATATATATATATATATATATACATACATATTAAACATATTAATTTACATATATCCACCTTACTTGCATACATCAGTGCTAAAATGTTTCCAGACTGCTTTTTCAGTGAGGCACAATACAGTGCAGTCGATCAGAACTGCATATATAGCCCTAAAGGTACAGTAACAAAAACAGCCTGTGCTGGAAAATGGTCATGTTAAAATTAACTATGACTGCAAGAACAATGGAGGACATTGGTCCTTTAAAGAACCATTTTATGCTAAATATGCGTTGTAATTTAGCCCTCTTCACATTACTTCATGACCAGTACAGTACTACACATCACTCAGAAACAACTCCTTCTTTTTCTAAGACCATTTCCAGGGGCAGACGTGAGGAGGGCGAATTACAATGAGATTACTTAGATTAATTAGAGTTTAAAACATTATAGAACTTCACAGAGCCTGTAATGTCAGCTTTAATTGTAACACACTCCTCTATTGTGTACTACTTATTTGGAAAGGGGTGCAGAGGCCACAGCACAATTTCACATATTGGAACTTCCAGAAATCTGCAAGTAAATCGGGACATTTGATTCTATAACGATCTCGATAAGCTGCTGCTGGAAACTGCGGCAGCGTCTGTAGCCTGTTGTGCTAAATTGAATTTTTTTTGTCTGGATACAAAACCACCTTCGCCGACCACATCCTCACAGAATTGCCCTTATAATGGCCGGCAGAGGGCGCTCGTGAACGCGCGGTCAAGATCACGCACTTCTCAACTCCTGCGCATGCGCGTTGCTTGTGCGCGTACCCTGCGCGGTCATGTCGCGCGGATCTCCTGCTGGATCCTCTGCGGGGCTCCCACACCAGATGAGCTCGGAGTCGCAGCGTTGAGCGCCTCTCCTCATTCTACACACCGGGGCTGTGAGTAAACCAGCTTTCTAGCGTCTGAACTATCAGTATTAGTGCTGAAGTGCAGTGATACAGAGCTGAGAGTGAAATGAGGCAGTGTGAGGTAGATTTAGAGTCAGATTTGCTGGTTTGGGAGGCTGAGTTCGGTCATGATGAAGCGCGCTGGCTGAGAGAGCGCTGTCTGGAAAGTTGGAGTCACTGGTTTGGACAACGACTGATGTTTTCCTGAAGCTAAATTGTTCAGAGCGGGTGTAGAGAAGTGTTTTACTTATTGAGCATTATTATTATTAGGGTTACAATAACGAGATCAGCGCTGAATCCAACTGAAAAAGAGGCTGTTCAGTTTCTGATGCACGAGTCAAACCTAGACGAAAGTGTTCAGGATTTCTGTAATTACTAAGCAATAACACTATTATAACTACGCTTTAAAGACCAGTGGACAATTGCATAAATATCATAAGTTTTTATTTTACGTTTAGTGCCCAAAAGATAAACCTAAAGCTGTAAATTTGATTTTAAATCTTGCAGAATGCACAAACGGAAGGTTTAAATCTCAATTCACAATTATGATTTTTTCACTTTACACTTAAACCTTTCACTGAAGAGATTTTACGCTGCTCACCTTAAAGGGGGACTCCACCGATTTTCCAAACATTCTGCATAATTAATAAGATTTAAAAATAATTCAGAGTGGTTTGGTGCGAGATGCACCGTTCTGGGGTAACTTACCGAGTCAGAGCTGTTCACAGTAAGGGCGATAGGAACCAGACGTCCGAAGAGTTTAATGCCTCTGAAAGCTCCCTCACAGAAAGGTGTTACATGAAATGGTTGCATATATGCTGCCTGATACCTGACACATCATTTTATGATAGTTTTGTGGTCAGGTCTTTCCCTTAAAATGTATTTTAATTAATCTGTTTTAATCTATTCATGGCGGATGGAATCATGCAGGGTGTTGTGAGGCAATATAGTCTCGAAAGAAAACTTTTTTTTTTCGGATTTATGACTATTTTATCATGATCAGCATTACATATAAAAACTCTGAAGACGTGTAGGTTAACTGGTGGATTTGAGTAAAATCAAATCCAAATAAAATGGATATATTTGCATTGTAGACATGGTGACGCGTGGTTCCTGTCACCACCACTGTAAATAAAAGTCTGTAAGTTTCTCTATGATGAACCATTTCACATCAAACTACTCTGAATGACACTGTTTATATAGCAAGGACTGAATTATTGAGAAATTTTGAAAAATTGGTGGAATTCCCCTTTAAGTTAAAGAAAATACTCAAGGCTAACATTTACTTAAGGTGTTTTATGCAAGTCACTACAGGCTCTTTGCAATCTACAGGGGGGCTGCCGAGTTATTCAATTAGCTCAGACTCTCTTTGATCTATAAGGAGCTGTTGAGGTACTCATGCTTTTTCAAGCAAACCATGTCCTAATTAGGTAAAGTCCTAATGACCTCATCTTTACTACAGAATCTAAATATCTAATGTTAGTGTCATTTGGACATTTATTAATGTCATTACTATCCTGTTTTTACTGGTGAGATTCTGAAAGTGTTATTAAGCTGATGCAATATGCTATAAGCCTTAGAAATGAATAAAATGTAATGGTTTGTAGCTCTAATTTTGCTCCCTTTTGGAATGGCTCGTTTCTCACAGGGCCGTTTGAATGGCAGAAGAGGGTGATGTTGAGCGAGAGAGAAAGAGGACACATGCGTCGGAATGACACAGGGTTTCACCCCACTGATCCCATTCCTGCTGCTGCTTCTTATGGGATTTGGTAAGCTGATCTACATAAAGCATCAACTAATGATAAAGAGGTGGCTTACAATATTTTACAAGTTCAGAATAACGAATTTGGCTGTGATGCCTTGATCCATCCCACTCTTACGTGTTTTTGGAAAAAAAAATGTTATTCTCACATACGTACATAAATTCCACATGAATAAAACATATTACATCAATACAACTAATGTCAAAAGTAAATAATTAGAAAGAAAAATGTTGATGAAATGTGTTCATATGGAAATGATCTACACATTTGAGTCAAGTAAATTCATTGCATCACCTTTTCATTGCCTAGATTCATTCACCTTCTGGCTGCATCACTGCTCCACCTGCTATTGAAGTTTACATGGAGGCCAGTGATAAGCAGCTCTCGGCTCTTTTTACTGAAGCAGGCTCGGACTCAGAGGAAGAGAAGGGAGGGGTCTTTTCCTGCCCGCTCTTCCCCTGCATGTATTTTTTTCTCAGGAAGTGACCTACGGGTAGCGGCATTTGTAAATCACAATGCCTCCTCGGGCGAATTTAGGGCCGCAGAGAGCTATTGTCAAGTGCACACAAAGTGTGTTGCGTCAAATAAAAATGGCACCGCACCACAGTACATATGAGCCATGAATGCTGAATAGGTGTATTTCCTGTTTACTGTTGACTTTGATCCAAGCTTTTCTGGGATTCGTGTGATCTGCTCACATCGTGGCCTCATTTTTTATTCATACTTAAGGGTACCATGGTACTTCGTCTTTTGAATATCCGCAGAATTATAGCGAGTCACCAATATACGAATTCCGGGCCGATACCGATATCGTTCACATGTTAACACATCACATATTAACACATATGTATGAAATCTGGAAATTGAGACCAGATCCACCTCGATAAGCATTACGGTTATTTGCAGAGGGTTACATGTCTTCAAATACATGACATAATTCAAAATGCAGCAGCCCATGTGCCTACCAGAAAAAAGAAAGACTGAGCATATCACCAGACCCATGGACAGACAGTTTGGAGGGCAGGGGGTCTAAGGGAAAAAAGGACAACATGGACATGAATTAAACTTAATTTAATTTTCTGTATATTGCAATCACTTTTATAGAGAGAATCATTGTAATCAGAGTTTTTCCAAAGGCAGTCAAAAGCACCAACATTTCTGTTTGGGGAACCTTAAACTCCAATTGCCAGCATGCAGAACTGTGGTGTTACTCACTTCACAGTGTTTTGTTATAACTCTAATTTAAAGCTGCGCAGGGTCTTGCAGAAACCCCTGTTTTTTTGCAATAATGAAAACTTGATGTAGCAGATTATTACCACCCCTATTGCTGACATTATGTTTGATTGTTCGGAATAACCACATTGTGGAATGTGATGCTATCTTAAAGCCCCTGTCAACGTGGTTTCAAATGTTTCCTTCAAAACAATGGTAAGATGACCAGATTTCTGAAATTAAAACTGATTACATTTCCAGTTCGGCACTCAGAATACCATTAAAATATCTAGTGTTTCTATCTATGAACTAAGGGGGCACCCTTCCAGTTTCATATATTTTGACCATGGTAACTGTTCTACTTTAATAAACAATGGTGAAGGCCGACAGATAAAATTGGGTACTAACTAATGTCAGAAAATCATACAATAGCCTACCATGGTGGGTGAACCTATGTAAACAATGGACTACTCAATAAAGAAAAAGATCAGCATGCCAGGAAATAAATTACAGTAGTCCTATAAATAGATCTATATTTTTGCTTTCCCCGTAGTGAGATTTGTCGCTTGTAACTTTTTAGAAATAAAGTGACTAAGGACTCAAATGTCACCGAGTCCAGTGGTGTAAGCAGGGATGAGGCATGGATATGTTTACCACAAAAGATTATGGTTGTATGAGCCCATAATTCATATTCATAATAAATATTTTGGCAGGGAAAAGAGACCTGTGGCTATATCCCAGTAGCCAGATACAAAACACACCCCTGGGCTAACTCGAATAAATTGACTGATATCAACAAATGCTATATGTCATATATAGATGGCTAAAAAGTGATGCAGTTTAAAAAAAAATGATGCACTACTTGTAGATCACATGTTAGCCTACATTCAAGTAGATTGTATGTGTATACAAATCAGGTAGCTTACCTATTACCTGGTAATACAATTCAAGTCCCATAACTCCACCTCTGCTTTTAATCCCTGGGTTTCTTTGTGTCTTGAAAAGACGTTTGCGGTGATTTTGTGGACTCACTTGACACCTGCTAGCTCCTGGTCAAGTTTTACACAGCAGTGTCCTCTAAAACAAGGCTGCCATGTGTTTCTTAGGACTTTCTGGTGTGTTTTTAATTCACAGTTTAAAATGGGGACATTTCTGGGGACAGCTCCAGCCACGTTTTTTGTTTAAAAATGAAACTTATTATAAATCTAAGTCTTTCAACTTCACTTGAAAAGAAATCAAAAAGATCTTTTACAAAACAAAATAAAAAAAATATTTTCAGAAGTTGAAATTAGGGGTCAGGGTTTGTGAAAGCTGCTGCAAAAGTTCATCATAAATTATGATTTTGTATTTAAGCAGGTTATTACTATCTCAATTAATGCCTTAGGTTCAAATAGTATAAACTGTAATCCTTATAAATATCTAAGGTCTGTATACTTAATTGTTTTTTTAATCTTTTTTTGACAGTAGAATGGTCCATATATAATAAGATAATGATTTTTTTCCCAATCAGTACAATGAAAAGCATGATACCAATTTTGCACGCTAACAGTTAAGCCAACAGAAATTAGAGTTAATGAGAACATTTGGTCAGCTGGAGTCAATAGTTTGACAATGGATAACATCTTTAATGTTGTAGTTGTGTCCATAAAATGAGTAGCTCTTTCCCTGCTTCAATTATGAGTAAATCTGCTTTTTATATCTACATTCTGTGTCCTGTTCTTTGTCTAATAATGTTTTTTTCCTGTTTTCTATCTGTTTCATTTTTAAGCAATGGCTGGTCTCCATCTGTGGCCCTCAGTGCACATTGCTCTGAGCAATGCTAGCGTTTTTGTCAACTATGACGCAGATGGCAACATCACGGACATTGAGCTGGCCGTTGCTTTGGTGGACATTGATAAGAATGTAACCGTGCTGACCAAGCCTCTCCCATTCAACCAGTCTGAGGGCTCACTGGAGTTTGACTGCACATGCTTCTTGTATGCTGGAAATTTCAGCTTCAGGTTAGAGCAAACAGCTCAACAGGGCTCGACCAACAGGACGTTCAGCCGGAGGTGGAGCCCAATACTGCGGGTTCAGTGGCCCACTTTCCATCTTGGAGTAGAGCGCGCTCGCAACAACCACAGCTCTGATGCATTTCAAATTGCTGTGTCCACTAATGATCACTTCCACGCCTGCCCCAGCAGCAAGACCTCATCCCTCTATCTGGAGGTCAGCTACCTGGAGCACAACCAGATTGGGAAGAACACCATAGACAAGGTGCAGAATCGCATGAAGCGAGACATCAAGGTCGTGAAGTCTCAGCACGTTGAGCTGGACTGTGCGTCCCAGCTGACCGAACGAGGCTTCATCCAGGTGGCCCTCAAATCTCACCACTCTCAGCAGGACATCAAATCCTCAGGGCCGCTCTACCTGTCCCGCATCTTCTCCTACAAGCTTCTGGTGGAGAACATCTACAGGAATGGCTGTGATGGGACAGTGTCCGTCCGCCTGCTCTCGCCACCCTGCACCCTCACCACTGGGAAAGTGCTGCTGTATAAAGAGGCTAATACAGCTGCAGAGCAAGCAGGTCCCTCTCAACTGGCCTTTAACTTCCTCAGCCAGGGCGAGAACGAGACAGAGTTTAACTGCTCCAACTTTGATCTCGGCAGGAATAAGTACTGTTTTCATTTCGCACTCATCTACAGCCAGTCACCCAGTTCAGCACAGACCTGCATCATTGTGCAGAGGAACGCTGGTGAGAATGAGTTTTTGCCTTTGTTAAAGTAATGTTCTCTACTAACTGCCACGTAGGGGGGAGCAATATGATGAAATTTTTGGTTCTCGTGACATCACAGTATGCTTTTTTGAGCATAATGGTCCTTATGAATCAAAGTTGCATAGAAACGAGTGCAAATTAAGAACTGCTCCCCATCTGATTCAGGAAACTAGGGTTAGGGTTAGGTTAGGGTTAAGCAGCGATTTGAGTACAGCTGAATCAGCTTTAGTGTGTGGAAACAAGCATCTGCACATGAGTACCTTATTTACAGATAATATGTAAAGGACATGCCCCAATTTACTCTCCTTTACATGTAATGCAGACATATTTATGCTTGATGTTTTTAGTGAGCCAATAAAGGGAAAGCATTCAGAGTTTGGAGAACACTGCCTAACTTCATGTTTCATTACAAAGAGTTTACAAGTTAGTCCTGTTTAACCCCTTTAAGTTTCTTAATAATAAACATAAGCCCAGGATTTTAAGGGGTCAATTGAATTGAATACAGTACAGTATGTGAAATGTTGAATAAAAATCATTGTACTCATAGTTTTTGATAGCATGTTTTGGAGGAGCAGAATCCATTGGAATTGGCAGTTTTTTGCTACAAACAAACAAATGAGAATTTAATAATCTGCCAATTTGTTATTTCTATTTTAGCTGTTCTATACTGCAATTTTTTGTAAATAAACAAGGGAGGCAGGTTAGTGCATTCGTGCTGTATGTGAATTCTGCTGCTACATTTGTACCAAACAGTCATAGCATAATTATTCATGACTCATTGTGCTAAATAGCCAGTTGCCTTTTACGTTTATTTTTATTATTAACACTTTATTTGATTAATGTTATTTAAATAGGCACGATTTTTCATTTTTTATTTAAAATGCCTGTTTGGCCTAGTAAAGGGAAATTCCATGGATTTTTAAATCTTTTAAAAAACGTACATAATTAAACATGAGATGTAAACAAAGCCATTGCGATACACAATTTTCACAGTATTTATTTTTTTCAGACATCTGATCAGTTGGAACAGAGAAAACAGTAGTGCTACATTTTAAAAAATACTATCAAAAACTATGAACACAACATTTATTTAATATTCACATCTAAATCCAGTTAGACAGGCCTAATTTTGCTCTCTTTATAGTGAATCGTGCAGTTGGTCAGTGCTCTACAAGCACTGATAAAATCCACAGTTGTGTTGTACTGTGGCATAATTTATCACAATAAAAATATATATTGTGATGTTGCCCAGCCCTTTAGCAGCTTTGACTAATAAAAAGCACAGGTACTAGTGTGTTTCATGTGTTCACCTAGCTCACACAGTGTGAGTCTGTTTTAAAATAGTAAGTAAGTAAATAAATAAATGTATGTTACTATAAAATCAGCAAGTAGCTGATGAAGAAATCAGCTGTAAAGAAATTAGAATCATCCAAAAAATTCTTGACTGATGCCCCTCCAGTATTAAACTACTGGTTCTTCTAAATCAAAAACCTACTGAACATAAGGAAAACGAAATATTGTGACACATACTATGTATTATGAAAAAGTCTTAACGTACTACATGCTTATATTTTGCAATATTGCCCACCTCACAGCTCTCTGATATTATTGAAGGTGAAATACTGTCCCATCCATAAATATGTAACTACATATAGTCCACATTTCTCATAGCATCTCTTTTAAAATAAAATCTCATGGAAATAACAAAATATTCTTAAATTTAATGTAACAATGTTTAATTCCAAGTAATATTAGACCATGTCTTTTGGTCCATTAATCATGACATGTTCACACAATGTAAAGGACAGCTGGTGTTATCAAATGGTCTAAAAAAAAAACCTCAAAGCCATCCAGATTATATTGAGGTTGTGATATGTCAGCAACAATATGTATGTATACATGTCATACCAACTGTTTTCTGTCTATTCTTTCTTAAACTGTATGTGTGATTTATTAGTGGAGAACTGGGGCCCCTGGCAAACATGGAGTGGGTGCAGCGTGACTTGTGGAGAAGGTGTTCGAGAGCGTGTGCGTGACTGTCTGCTGCCCTCTGGTGGTGGGATGCAGTGCACAGGCATGGTGAGAGAGCAGTCGCCCTGCTCCCTGGAGGACTGCGCTGGTAAGCCATATCGCTAATACTCACTGGTACTCATAGTACTGTGCAAAAGTCAAAAGTGCAGAAGCCATATGCAGTGCAGGCATTTTAACTTGTGAAGAAACACTATTGTGCAGCACCACATAGTAAATAAACACAAGCATGCAGTGATCAAATAAAGCAACAAGAATATCTTGTTTTCTAAAACGTTCTCGTGAGGTGGTTAGAAGAACACAGATTTGGTTCCTCCTCTTCTCAAAGCTCCTCAGCTATTGCTCAAATCCAATTTAAACATTGTTAAGGTATAAAAACTGTATATAGAAGCTAAACAGTAAAAACAGCCCATATTGTATTCACTGTTTTTGTGACATCACAAAATCCAATGCATTTACATGTATCCAGCTATTCAGACTACAGCTGTTAAGCTCCGCCTGTTCACGCTGAAGTTTTAGTCTGGACTGCTTTTTAAATAAGTACCAATACAGGGCAGCCGATTAGAACACAGCTCATTTACATATATCAGTCTTAAAGGTAAAAAAAAACTGTTTCAGAGATAGAATGAAAATGAGTTAAAAGAAATTTAAAATGTTCATTTTAAAAATGTGTTCTGACTATTTTTGGTACATAAAACCACAAATACATTATAAGTAAACCACCAGGAAAAAATACAAGAAAATTATAGGAGATGAGCCTCTAAGCTAACACCCAGACAGACATCAAATAAAAACAAAGAGCAATAATGTTTATTGGTATTTATTCTAATTTCAGTGTGTTTAAATGAGAAAATAAAGATGTGCTGCCCAGACAAATAGCTATAAACATAATTGAATGTCTTTTCTGAGGTGCAGAGGTAGCAGACGTAAATCCTTACTCAAGTAAAAGTGCAAATACTCACCTGCAAAATATTCTGGTAAAAGTTGAAGTACAGTTTGTTGAAGTATAAAATATTAACTTTTCAAATTTACTTGCAAATGAAAAGAAGTGAGGCAGTGGATGTGGAATGTTACAACACAAATCGCTTCCACAACATTGGCTAGCTCATTACTGGTCTGACGAATCATTCCTGTTACTACATTTAGAGGGCATTGTCATAGTACAGAGAACTTTTCTTGTTTTTCCTCTATCTTGCTTCCTCTGCTTCTTTCCCTTCTTTTTGGTGTAAGACACTGCACTTGTGCGCACAGATGTACAAACAGCCACTCGCAGGTGAAACGGAGAAAAAAAGATTAATTACCTCTTATTGTTGTCACATTCGTTATACTTCAGATTTGTTAGGAATGTGGTGTTTAATCAACTGCTGGAAAGTGTCTGAGGCTAAAATCACCTTATTTAGATCATGTGTGTATCGTCACTTGCAGATTATAGAGTAGAAGGTCTGTTTTTTTTTTCTTTTGAAATGTAGTGAGTAAAAATCTTAAGCCATAAGTGAAACCTTAGATCCTTGAAAATCATACTTAAATACAGTAATAAAATGCAATCATTAAAATTTAGTTAACGATTAACTGCCATATAAAAAATTGGCAGTTTAAGATTAACATCTAAACTGTATTTTTTTTCTCGGCAGCTAATGAAGTATAAGCCTAAAGAGGCCGAATTGTGTGATTAGCTATTCTTGCTTTCTTGACAACAAACATCTTGAGCTCTCTAAAGGTGTTATAGCACCAGTCAGAAGACCCATGACGTGTTTATATAAATGTGTTTTCTGCTTTCTTTTATTTGCATGTATTTGCCGCAACCCAACGGATGAAAACACACTCCGTTTACATTCTGTTTGTTGTGACATAAACATATGATAGTGAAAGCGAACAACTGCAGAAAATAATCGCAGTCAGCTTGAACAGTTGCGATTAGGTGATTATGTAACTGCTACAGGTCTACCAATAAAACATTGTACTATGTTACTTCCCACCTCGTTTTGCATGATCCTGTGTGCATATTCTTTTTCCTCAAAACCTTTAAATGCTCCAAATGTCTATTTGTAGCACTATGACTTGTGTAAATCTAATTCAGTCTGTTTCATGATCTGTAGAGGACCTGCCTCCCCCTTCCTTCCCACCTTCTCCCGCTGTGGACGTTCTGGGGGGAAATATGATGGTGGTGGTCGGTATCTCTCTGTGTCTGGCAGTCATCCTGGTCACCATCCTCATTACAGTGTGGAGAAAACTGTGTCGTGCTCCAAAGTGCAGCTCAGTGCGGCGTGAATCCATGCATTCTCCCGGTGGGCGTAAGAACTCGGATGAGGCATCTATCTGTGGACATAGCCTGCAGAGGCCCAGTTTCTCTGAAAGTCTGCAAGCAACTGGACCTCAGAAAGGTCTAACGTACCCCACATCTGCGTCAGACAAGGGTGTACTGGCTTGTGAGCAGAGTCTCTCCTTGCCCTTGCCTTTGCCCTTGGCCCAGGACCCTGAGCGGATGTCACCTTCTGGTCAGAAGATTCTGCCTCCCATTTTTGGCTATCGTTTGGCCCAGCAGCAGCTCAAGGAAATGAAGAAGAAGGGACTTAAAGAAGCTACTCAGGTCTATCATGTCTCCCAGAGTCCTATTGATGACACCATGTTGGAGGCAACAGCCTCCACATCTGCTGGTCTGACGCCAGTGCCTCAGGAAATGGAAAGCCAGGAGGAACCCAATATTAGTCACTTCCACAAATCCCCTTTTCCTGAGCCTATATGGCCTCACAAAACCTGTGCCACCCTGCCTGACCGGCTAAGCCCTAAGGTGGATCTAATACTGGGGACACCAAAGTCTGCTTTTAGTGCCAGGGAGCGGAGGCAGGAGCGCACCGCAGACTGGGTGGCAATGGTGGAGCGCAGCCGACTAGATTGCTCTAAGAATCCAAACTTCAGGAGGACCTCCAGCTTTAACGAGAGCAACCTGCAGCAGCTGCCACAACCACGGCCCTTTAGGGAGCGGAGCATGACCCAGGTTGCACCACGCCAGCTTCCAGAGGGCAGCTGCAGGACCAGAGCCTGGGAGCACCCCATTCCAGAACTGGAGGACTGGTCTCGGCCCAAATATAGGATACCAGACAGTTCAAGTGACCAAAGGCGGCGGCCATGGGTGGGTACTCCACCTTCTCTCTCGAAAACCAAACCATCAGTGCTTAATTCAGGGACTTCAGGGACGCCAGTCCAAGATCCCCTAAGTGACAGTCACGCATTAGGCCGGGCACCGTCTTTTGGAATGGATCGAGCTGAAAGGGCGGAACAAAACTGGAGCAGGAGAGGCCCTTCACCCATCCAGAGGAACATGCTGGCCAGGAAGCTTCGAGAAGCCAACTCAGCAGCCAGCAGCCAGCGGCAAAGAAGTTCCACCTTCTCCAGCTACGAGCAGCGCAGAGGCCGGTGTCGAAGCCTTCCACTCTCTGGAGACTACAGTAACTCCTCCTATGGCCTGACTGAGGCTGAGAAACGTATGATGGACATCTCTGGATACCTGGGAGAAGAGGATGGGATTGAGGTGATGAGAGACCATAGACTCACCTGATTCTGTCTGTGACTGGGCATATCCAGTGTATTCAGATCAGGAACTCTGCAAACTGCTGAAGTGAACTCCCATAGACTTAACTATAGAGCTGGGCATGAAAAAAATCATCAAAATGGACAAAGTTGTTGACTGATGTGGAGCTTATATTTTCCATGGATCACTTATTTATTTTTTTAAAGGTGTTTGATTAATTATAAGTGGAGCAGAAGGTCACGTGGCCACACAGCATCAGCAGACATTCAGTGATATTCAGCTCAATCAGTGGGAAAGAAAAAAAAGTGAGATGTCCTTTAAACAAGCTGATAAAAAAGTGGGCTGCACATTAGGGGTGGGCGATATGGCAAAAAAAAAAATACCATGATACTAAAAGACATTTTCAATACACAATATAAATCACAACATTTAGTTTTTCTGAGGTTTGATAAGGTGGCACAGACAAAAAAGTGTAACATACTGTGAAATTACTATGAAAACAGTTAAACAGGGCTAATTATGCTCTCTTTGTAATGGAACATAAAGCAGGACAGTGTTATTCAATACTGATTATATGCTCAGAAAAGCATATTATAATATGATGTAATCATGATAATGGTAAATACAGTAATATTGCCCACACCTGTTGCACATTATGCCTCTGAGTTTACAAGCTAGACAATACTATTGGATTACTTATCAAATCTAATGCTTGTTATTAGTCAATTTTGGGAGACAATGAGTAGCATATACACACCACCTCATGTGAAAATGATCGATAAATTATGCAAATCATGTCACATGGGAAATTTTAAATTCTTTTCAATTTTTTTTTGTTAGTTGATTTTGGTATTTTATTGCTAAAGCTTATTATTGCAATCAACGAAGAATATTGATAGGCGCGTTTTCCCTCATTCTTACAAAAGTGGATTATATCATGCCTAGACACATTCCATTTATGTCGGTCATAAAATGTGTAAGATTCTCTACTATTTCAATTTTTTAGGAAAAATGAATAATACCTCCCAAAAAAGAACCCATCATGGTTTGACTTATGAGTTATATAAATACTAACTAATTAACACGGGGATGAACATGTTTACTTATATTTATAAATATAAAATTATCTATTTTCATAACTTTTCTTCTTCTGAGTACAGAAGCAAAAATGTCATTTGGATGTAAAATAGAATATCAAACAGATATTTGAAATGTGGGAACGTCTTTACACTGGAAAATGTCTCAGCTATGAACAAGTAATGTAATGTATTGTGTGTAATGTCAATAAATACTTGTTTTAGTTGTATGTGCGGGTCATTATTCCTTTTGCGGTATCTTAATCTGTTAGATCTAGGATGAAACATCGGGATGACTGGGCTTTATGTGTATTTGTGAGCTTTGTTATGTACTGATGCAGAAAACAGTGCTATAACAAGTGTACACATATAGATCTAGCTTTACTTTCAGTTAAATTTGATCATGTCTCTGCAAATGCCTAAACAAAAATTCACCTTTTAGCTGGTTAATCTCTTTGAAGATGCATTTATAGAGATGGCTGGTTCTTCGTAGAGATGGATGCTTATTTATAGAGCCATTTTTGTAAATAAAATGTGTGAATCTGTAGAACCTCTTTAAAAGTAATAATGTAAAGTTTCTAGGAAGAACCCTTCATACTGGTATAGATGGTTTGCAGTCTTAAAAATAAAGTTGACAAAAAGGGATTTTTTGCACAACCACCATAAAGAAATCACTTTAGGTTCAATGTTTGATGCAAATGGGAGTGTTAAGAACCCTTTTAAAGTAAAGAACCTCCACATAATAATGTTCTAGGCAGAACACTAATTTCTAATTAACCTTCACATTATGCGAAGGACCTTTAAAAGGTTCTTCACTCACTGATCTCTTTTACAATTATGGTTCTGGAATTAACTAAAAGTGATTCTTTTATGGCCTCGCTCAAAGAACCATTTGTGGAACCCTTTTAAGAGTGTAGATGAATATAGAACTTTGCATTATGTTCTTTAAACCTTTAAAAGGAACTTCACACTTCAAATCTCTTTTTCCAACTTTTTTTATGGAAGCAAAAGTGGTTCCTCTAAGGCCCGTGTGTCAAACACAAGGTCCGTGGGCCAGATCAGGCCCGCCACACAGTCCTATCTGGACCGCAAAAGCATTTTAATTTTCAATTATTATTAGCCCGTTTTACAATGCACTGCACCACAATCCCCAGCATGCACTGCAATGTAATGTGCTCAGACTCTCCTACCCAACAACAGTCTATGGGACAGCGGTTACACCTCAGTTCTATGCAATTCCACACCAGTCATATCACCAAAATGCATTTCAGCTGCAGTTCAACCAACATAAACACTGAACATTAGCTAAGCAGCTCAGAAATTGAGCCCAAGTATAAATGAACTTGCAGCAAAGAAAGGATGCCAGGTGTCTAGTTCAAGCAAATAGGTAGGTTTAAAAGACATTTAAAGTGTCCGTGTAATATTGTGTACTAAGTGTCCGTGTAATATTTCAAGGTCTACTACAAGTGTCTGTATTTTACTGTTGAAGTTTTTGCATATTTTGGATAAACAATGGCCAGTTTGGGTTATAGCACAACATTAATTAAAAATGTTTTTTTTCTCTGTCCCATGGATTTGATGAAATTTTTTAATATGGCCCTTTTTCTGTTTGAGTCTGACACATGGGCTCTAAGGCAGCACTTAAAGAAGTCTATTATTTTCAGCTAACAACATGACACCACACAGTGTGAGTTTTTCTATTTCAGGATAGATTTGTTACAGGGTTAGATTCTTTCCTTTTTCTCTCGGATTCCAGTCCAGCATTTTCTACTGATATCAACCTAAATTTATTTTTCTCTCATTCTGATGTTTTTTCAGTGAGCTACACTCTACTTTGGAAACCACTGAGTTCATTTACAAAGGTCAGGAGTGTGTGACCTTAACAAAAGAGGCATCATAAAAGACATTTCAGACAAACAAGAGAGTTTGAATGCTTGGTTGCTTTATCATGCACAGTAAAATGTATCTGTGAATTGGTAATTTATCACATGCTTGAAGAAAAGCCGTCTAACTGCAGGTTAAATGCTTTTCTGAAAGTAATGTATATACCCATGATTCACAGGCAAGTGTCAGTGTACGTTATATTGAGATTCATCTCCAAAGCACTTCTGTATATATTTGCTTTATATAGTATAATACTGCAGTATAAAGTCCATTTTCAATTCCTTTATGATGAAATTAAGACATAAACACATAAATGATGCAGTGGGTTTCATCTAAGCCTCTGGTCCCGCCCCACTGCCCAGGCTGTCCATAAAAGCTGCAGGCCGCACCTTCATGCTCGTGTGTCTGAGGGAGTACCACAGCCCCCTCCAGGTTCTCCACACCACTCCATTGTCGTGTTTGGCTGTGTATTTTCCCCCTCGATAGAACCGTCCATTCAGGTTGGCAGCATGACACCTGCCAAACAGCAAACAGTTATGAGTTTTAATATTTGGAAATAGAGAACAAGGGTGTAACATTTTGAACTGAAACAAAATTTGACTCCAGCAATCAGTCAATTTCAACCCTGGCAAAAATAGAGGGGACTGTGATTTAGACATTAAAAACAAAATGAAAACAGCAACAAACACGATTTTTAGTTCCTTTACTCAAACACACCCATTAAACCTGGCAATTAATAGAAGAGTTGATTTAAGTGTGCTGGACACTGGCGCTGCTTAGAAAATCAAAAATCAAATTAAACTGTGACAAAATCAAAAAGCAGAAATAAATCAGAGAGATTCTGAATCATCACACGAGAACAATTTTGAATGTTGAAAGTCCAAAAAAAAAAAGTATCTCAGCAGTAACTTTACAGGAGAAGGCAAAAACATTCTTTACTTTTAATGTTAGCCAAAGTAATGAAACTGTTTTTCCAGGCAATTTAGGATCATTTCTATTTGTACATTCAACTTGTATTTTTCATCATGTATTTTATCAAGATGTAAAGCTGCTAATGATGCAGACATAAAATGGAAAAAAATGGAAATACATGCACCTGCAGAATGTTATAGGCAGCAATTGGGGTGGACAATATGATATGTTATCAATATTGTGATAAATTACATCATGGTATATTGTTCTAAGTATATTGTGGGTATTGTTAGGACTTCTAGATCACTGAACAACTGCACGTTTCATAAAAAAGACAGATTTAGACAGATTAGAGAGACGCTGTAAACAACAACAACCAGTGTACAGTAACTCATCGCTGTCAGAAGAAAACCTCATATGTCCGTTTTTGTTGTTTTTAGTTTTCTTCTACACAATTTAAACATGCTGGCCACCTTTTACATTTGTTTAATTTCATGATGAATGGAACAAAATAAATGGTTCAAAATCACTTGGAAAAAAAAGTCTGGTTGCACTGACTCACATTAAAGTAAGGTATGTTTTTGCCTTCTCCTTAAAGTCAGATAAGGAGGTTTTTCCAACAGTGACTGCTGGAACTGTATAAACTGCATGGTAACAAGCAGCTGTTTGGATGCCAGTCTATTACGACATCATCTCTTACTCATCACCTAAGCTGCTTACCCTCCTGGAGCCTATCCCTGTGCTCATTGGGTGGAAAACAGGAAACACCCTGGACAGGTTGCCAGTTTGTCACAGGGCAGACAGACAGACATACACATTCACACACATAATCACACCTAGGGCCAATTTAGCATCCCCAGTTTACCTGACTGCATGTCTTTAGACCGTGGGAGGAAACCCATGCAGACACGCAACCTCCACACAGAAAGGACCACCAGTCGCCCAGCCAGGGAATTGGAATCTTTTATTTTATTAATTGAAAGTTTTTTATGTTTTTTAAAAATGTTTTACTTGTTCATTTTGTCTGTTCCAGTTTGTTCACAAACCACAGAGTGACATTTTGTGATACATGTTGCGTACTGTGAAAATATCAATATATTTCAGCTGAGGAGAAGGACTCTTCTGTGGCCTAATGTATTCTTTGCATGTCACCTGTTGTACCACCAGCCTCCTTTGTTTTCTTTGGCACAGCTTCCTTGCAGATAGCGATCATTATCCTGGTCCTTGGTGCTGAATTGCATGCCACTGTGGGAGGCAGACCACTGCTCCACCATATTACTCCCACCAGACAAAGCATCTCCCGCCCGCCCACTGTACATTCCATAGTACAGCCTGTACTTGTCCTGCGTAAGGGGAAGGATGCCTTGATCAGTTCATGTTCATGGTTACAGGAATGTAAATGTATTAAAAACATCATTGCAGTATTAGAGGATGTATTGTTTGTTTTAATAGTAGTGTTTAATAGTAGTGTCCTAGTAGAAAAAACACCAATACAATAACATTAGTTTGTTTTTGTTTAGAAAGATAGGATAAGAAAACCTACTTTTTCATCTGCCACTCTTAAGTTGTCATACACTGCATACGATCTTTCTCCATTCCAGTCCATCAAATCAATCTTCATTACATTTTCACCTTCAAGAACAATAAAAAGGAACTTTCCGTATGTGATGGTCAAAAACTTTACTTTAAATGGCAACAACCTACCTCTATTCAGCAAGACATGAATGTGATCATTGCCCAGCCAGAACTCATCTTTACTTAACTGGAAATTGCCAAAACCATTTTTATACTCTTCCCAGTTCCTGCAAATAAAACATGTATAAAAATTATTGATGTACAAATTTGAAAACATGCATCTCAAACATGTCACGGACGTTTTAAATAGCCCTGTTCCGATTATGAAATTTTAACTGTTGATTAACTGCCATTTTAATAAATTGTGATTTACAACTATTAAAACTATTAAAGTAGAAGCCTATAGCGGCTAAGTTGGCTGGTTAGTTTTCTTGCTTTCTCACTGTTGATTCTTTGTAGCTCCTAACTGATAGCAGCTCATGATCAAATAAACAGACATTACTTGCTGCTTCCCTCTAAAGGTGTAACAGCACCAGTCAGAATTAGGACTTGTTGTTTTTGTAAGACCCATGACGCATATCAATAACTCTTTCTAATTTTCTGCTTTCTTTTCTTTCACATTCTTTTGCCTCAATCCAGCAGATGAAAACCACATTCACAGCGGCCCTTGTTCATTATGTTATGTACACTCAAGTCTTATAGTAAAATAAGCGCATGCAAATTTCACTAACAGTTTTGGTGTAACTGTGCAATCAAACTCAGTGACAGGAGTGTGTCTTAATTTGAGTTTAAGAACCTGAAAAAATGCTTTATTTGATCTCCAAAAGTGTTATCAACATCATCTATAATACCAACAATA